TTTTTCTCTTTTATTCTTCCTCAGATCTACGAAGATTGGACTGTTTAATCGTTTCGGGTCAAGAACTAAAGTTGCTCTACTCAGCGAGAGCTACGCAACCACATGAATAATTATATTTTTTTCCAAACAAATATCAAAGACGATAATTCAGGCCTAAGGTTTGAGAAGCTAAATTTGGGCTTTCTTGGAGTTCCAATACATAGGCTCACGCTACGAGAGGTAGGATTTCTCCTATTTAGATATAATTTCAACCTAAGATATAGCATATGAAATGGGTAGGCTAAGAGTGCATATCACATGTTAGGTCTTGACTAATGTAACTAGTATGTCAAATATAGGATTTNCTCCAAACAAATATCAAAGACGATAATCTAGGCCTAAGGTTTGAGAAGCTAAATTTGGGCTTTCTTGGAGTTCCAATACATAGGCTCACGCTACGACAGGTAGGATTTCTCTTATTTAGATATAATTTCAACCTAAGATATAGCATATGAAATGGGTAGGCTAAGAGTGCATATCACATGTTAGGTCTTGACTAATGTAACTAGTATGTCAAATATAGGATTTATGATTCACCTTGAAATTAATAAAATCATATTATGATTAACTTGGTGTAAGTTAATGTTAGTGGTTTAAAGCATGTTAATTGTATATTAGCATTACTTTATATTTTAAATGACATATCAAGTTTAATAAAATTATTAACTTGTTATATGATTATGAAATAATATGTATGTTAAATGATTGTTTAGCATATGATTATTGTGGTGGATTTGTGTTTATGTTTATATAATTAATAAACATGTTGTCATGTTGAAAATGTCATTATATTGCATATTTTATGTAATGGACATTGTAAATAATATCAAAGACAATTGCACATTGAATTACATTATGCATGAGTTGCATTACATTCATGAGCATTGATATGGGTGGGAGTGTGTGCATGATATGAAATCAANTAATTAATAAACATGTTGTCATGTTGAAAATGTCATTATATTACATATTTTATGTAATAGACATTGTAAATAATATCAAAGACAATTGCACATTGAATTACATTATATATGAGTTGCATTACATTCATGAGCATTGATATGGGTGGGAGTGTGTGCATGATATGAAATCAATCACCACATATATGGTTGATTGTAGGCTGAAAAAAATCGCACCAAGATCCGGTTGAGTCACACAAAAAATTAAATAGATAAATGTGTCGGGGATAGCAAGAAGAGCTAGATTCTCCCTCGGGTGCAAGACCCGCTTACTTGGTTTATACACTTTCCAACGGTGAGATTCCAGAAAAGTGAAACGGCCAAAACGGAGCCCCAGGTGGGATGTCCTGAGAATTTGNGAAAAATTAAATAGATAAATGTGTCGGAGATAGCAAGAAGAGCTAGATTCTCCCTCGGGTGCAAGACTCGCTTACTTGGTTTATACACTTTCCAACGGTGAGATTCCAGAAAAGTGAAACGGCCAAAACGGAGCCCCAGGTGGGATGTCCTGAGAATTTGTTGATGGTTGGTGTCCCATTGGTGTAATACCATAAATCATCTCCCTACAAAGACACAAGAAAATAAATTAATTAGTCATTGAGTGTACATAACACTAATGACTAGGCTTGGAATGCCTGGATACATGCGTATGACATTGTATGTGTTGTGGGAGATCAGGATAGGGCTCGGTGTGGGTATTGCTAGTGTGAGTCTCATCTCATGGTATGACATGATTTATGACATTTGTTTATAATAAACATATTTGAATAATTGCATGAAATGATTGTTGTATGTGACATTTCATATGCATTTAGGTTGAGAGGTATTCTCTATAGGAGTTATCCTATTGAGCGTTGACTCACCTTTNCATGACATGATTTATGACATTCGTTTATAATAAACATATTTGAATAATTGCATGAAATGATTGTTGTGTGTGACATTTCATATGCATTTAGGTTGAGAGGTATTCTCTATAGGAGTTATCCTATTGAGCGTTGACTCACCTTTTATGGAAATATTTTTCAGGTATTGCACAGGCTTTCACCGAAGGCGAAGCCATGGGCCCGCTTTGACGACAGAGTCNTATGACATGATTTATGACATTTGTTTATAATAAACATATTTGAATAATTGCATGAAATGATTGTTGTATGTGACATTTCATATGCATTTAGGTTGAGAGGTATTCTCTATAGGAGTTATCCTATTGAGCGTTGACTCACCTTTTATGGAAATATTTTTCAGGTATTGCACAGGCTTTCACCGAAGGCGAAGCCATGGGCCCGCTTTGACGACAGAGTCGGTCTATGGCTCTTCTTCTGACATTGTAGTCCCTTGTTTATATTTACTTTTGGTCTTGTGTAATTTTTGTAACAAAAATTTGTTTATATTTAAAAGACATGTATAAGGGACTCTTTTGAGACACTTATTCTTTTATAAATGAATGTACGTAATGATGATGATTATAATAGTATCTGATACTATGCTAAGGAGTAGGGATGAATGGGTCCAGTGTGGTCAATGTTATATGATTGCACAAATTGCGTTTTGAGTAGAACTCTTCGTACAAAGGAGACTCTGTCCAAATTTTTTTAAGTTATAGATCTCGGTAAATGGGGCATAACGGTGTGGTATCGAATTACACGGTATCCACGGATAGTCCGCGGGTTGATAGGTGATCAACCGAGTAATTACTGACACCTGGATTTTGGGCTGTCACANAATAGTATCTGTTACTATGCTAAGGAGTAGGGATGAATGGGCCCAGTGTGGTCAATGTTATATGATTGCACAAATTGCGTTTTGAGTAGAACTCTTCGTACAAAGGTGACTCTGTCCAAATTTTGTTAAGTTATAGATCTCGGTAAATGGGGCATAACGGTGTGGTATCGAATTACACGGTATCCACGGATAGTCCACGGGTTGATAGGTGATCAACCGAGTAATTACTGACACCTGGATTTTGGGCTGTCACAGGCGGCATTAGGTTAGGTGGGCACAAGTGGTTCAGATGAAATAGGGGATAGGGTTTCTGGATTGGGTTTTTTTTTATTGTGGATGGCGATGGGCTGATACAAAAAAAATTAGTATGTGTGAGTTTATACCCAACTACCATGCAAAAGAGAGAGAGAGAAGGGGGTTGGGGAGATGGAAATTGATGGTTCTTTGACGAGGGTTTATGTGGCTGGAACATGGATGGTTCTGGATGTAAATTGGTGTTTCTTGGAATGGTTTTTCGCTAGAAAAATGTTAAGGGGTAAAATGGTCAAGATAACATAAATAATGTTTTTGACAACATTCATATCCGTGGACCCCATAGATATAAAAAATTATTTACCAAACATCGGATAGGACATGATATATTATTATGTCCAAACCAAAGCAAGTAAGTGGTGAGTTACGCATGTATAAGAATAGATATAAATATGAAATCTTATCCAATCCTTTCCGAGCATCCAAACACACTCTTTATGTGTATGATCTTAGGAATGGTTCAATCTTGGAAGGGATATTCATCTTATTGCATACAATAAAATATTTTTAGACCATCGTCTATCTAATAAAATAATTAGTATTTTGAATTTTATTCGCACATATTTTTTTTTGTTTCTATCACATCACTCATTGCTATCACAAAATAAATTATTTAATTTTTAATTAATTTATTACTCAATATAATTTCAATTGAAATTAGCATGCGACACGAAGTTTATGCGAATTTAATGAGTTTGGGTTTAACCTTTGCATGTTTGGGTGGTAAACATTTAAAACTCTCATACCCATCAAAAAAATAGGTTAACAACATTCTACTAAATAATATACGAACTCAATTAAACTCAGGTAACATGTAAAATATAAACTAAAATAACACAAACATGATTATATATGATCATAAAATTGGTCGAGTATGAATCAAATAAATTTTAACACAAAATAATTTCATAGTTGAAAAATACAACACCACCCAACCCTATCAGCTCTTATTAAAATTTGTCAAAAGACTTGGGTGCCCATCCCAATTATCTCGTCAAACTATGTTACCTTCAGAAAATTTCAGTATTATATTAAAATTAGTTAAGAGTTGTAGGTGTATTTTTTTTTTTTTGGTTCAAGGGTTAGAGATATTTAGGTTAGGTTACGCACACCTCAACTAATCTTTACTCTTGATCTGGTTAAAGATAGACTATCTTCGTTGGGCTGAGAGTATTCATGAGAGATAAATTCCTCATAATCTAACCCCACAAAATTGTTAATATTCAAATTCAAGACTTCTAAATTTACAATTCACCCTTGTTACTACATGAACTACCTCATGGAGGTTGTAGGGTTGAGTTGTAGGTGTTGGTTTGATGCATAAGCATAATGAAAATAAAGTAAAATAAGAAACGAAAAATTGTGAGCAGATACCTTTAAAATACTTAATTGTGAGAAAATATTTTAACTAAAATCTTTTGTAGATAAATATCTTTGACTTGTAATGTATTTTAGTTAGATACTCATTAACATATTTTCAAATATTTTCTTCACTAAAATACCATTTTTCTTATTTGAAAGCCTGTTAGCAAGAATCAAAATTTTGTATCGAAATAGTCGAAACATCTTAAACATTTCCGTTTTTTAAAGAGACCAAAACCAACCCGTGATAGAATCAAAATTCTAAATAATTTGATGTGTTTCATAATGTTCCAAGGTGTTTTGTAATATTTCAATGCATTTGCACAATTATTTCAGCATATCTTAATGTATAAATCCTATTCTATGTCTATGTCATCTTATTTACTATGGATTCAACCTCTCGATGCTCTCCTTATCCTTTCGAGATGTCGAAAGCTTCAGTCAACACAGTCCTTAGCCCACATCTATCTAATAAGAGTCCTTACCCCCGTATTCATCAATATCAATAAAAGTAGTAGGCGTGAAGATTTAGTATACTCACTTCTAGGTACTGCACAACGTCCTATATTCATTCCCTTGAAACTATGTATTGCAGTTGACAGATCACAGAAGGAAGTCAATAGCATACTAGAGTAGAGGGTAGAGGGAAAGAACTGATTTAGTAATACAGTTAAACCACTAATTCTCTATAACATGTGTCTATCTCTTTTCTGTTGTTACAAAATTCAAGAGTAAGACATGAAGAATCAGAGAAAAAGAAATCAATCTTACAAGTTCATAGACGGTTAAATGCAGTCCTCGGATAATAACTAGGAGAGAAAGAACTAGGAATAAATAATTCTAGCAACAGAGAAAGAGAACTACTAAGAATAATAGCAACCCTTCATGTAGGAAGGTGTAGAGTATATTTCGATTAATGTTTTGAAAAATAATTATTAAATTTTTTATTTTTTCATTCTACTTCCAAAACGGATCAAAATATTTTCAAAATACGTTGAAACGTTTCTGTTTTATAGGTGGCCGAAAAAATGCACTGAAATAAATTTTTGATCCTTGCTTGTTAGTTTGATAGTCCCATTTTTTATGGAATTTGATTTATTATATTAATTGTTTCATATTTTAAGGGATTGAACATATTTGAAATTCAAAATTATATCACATGGAATATACCTTAACGGGTTGACCTATATTTTGAAATTCATTTTTTTATATTATTTTTTACTGTTAAACGACTTTGGTTATTCTTAAATCTTATCATAGTGTTGGTTTGCAATTTATATTGTGATATAACATTGTTATTCATTAAAAATAATATATATAAATGTCTCACATTATATGATGTATACGATTTAGATTGTGTATGAATTAGCGAATATAATTTTACAACTTTTTTGTTAATGATTAAAGTGTTAATGAAGGTGTTACGTTATCATATATCATTGTAATGTCACATTATTAGAAATTTGAATCGGAACAGAAGGAAGATCGGTTTCAATGATGCTTCAATGTTTTTTTTTTTTTTTTTAAAATTGAAGAATTTTGTAGAAGTTTTTTTTTAAAAAAAAATTAATGGGATTGTTGTATGATTTATGACAATTTTTTTGTCCACTCTTTGCGCAAGTAATTGTTATCTTGTGATCGTTTTTGTCATTTAAAAAAAATTTATTTCTATATCAAATATTTTATATCGAGTTCTTTAAGGGGTGACTCAAGACAAATTTGAGGCTTAAAGCTGTAATTTATTTTGCGGCATTTTTATTTTTGGTGTTAAAAATTTTGATTAAGATTAATTCTTCTCATTTTTTGAGTTGTAAAATTATAATTAACTGGTAAATTAATTAGAGTCCCACAAACAACCCAATAAGAAAACATGAAAAAGTGAAGCAGAGACGCTGAGCAACGAAGTTCAGATGTAAAAGCATGCAAAACCTTTGATTCCAAAGAAGTCGATCGCCATTAGTTCCTTTTTTTGGGGGTAAAGAAGAATACCCATTATTGATTCCAAGGACGAGGAGTTGTTTTTTCTCACTGTTGGGCTGTTGGCAATAGAGGGGCCACAAGCAGAGCCTGTGGACGCAATTTCTTCCAATCTTGCAAGGTCCCCCACCTATCCCCACCCCACCTTCTCTCTCACTATAATTTGACCACACATTCATTCACTTCTTAACTTGCACTGGAACACTCTGGAGGTAAGTGCTTAATTGACTCTTCAGTATCTGCATCTTCTCTCCTTCTCAATTGACTTTATACTATCCATTCTTCATGCTTATAGGATTGATTTCCATGTGGGTGTTACTTAGTCTTCCTAATAATTCCTGTTTCAAGCTTACATAAGATTAATCAAGTACCACCCTTTGTTATTAGTCTGCATTCTGATGTTAATTGTTATGATACAATGCTAGTGATGTTGGTAATCTGAAATTATTAGATTTTGTGGAGATTTGCACAAAGTCCCTAAGTCCCTAAGTTTTTTGGTATTCGAATTATTTGATCCCTGCAGTACAGACTATCATGTTTCTGACAGTTTGTCTGACAGTGTTANATCCCTAAGTCCCTAAGTTTTTTGGTATTCAAAGTATTTGATCCCTGCAGTACAGACTATCATGTTTCTGACAGTTTGTCTGACAGTGTTATCATATGATAATTTGTTCATGATGGAGTCACTCCTAATAACCATCAGATCTTCTGCCTGAAATTTCATGTGAAGTTCACGTTCTAAACCGATCTCATCTTTTTCAGCTTTTGACTCCTCGGATGGAAATGCTGTCTTGGATTTTTTGCGTACAATCTTGATAGTGCTTCTGGTACTTGCTGCGAGAAAGTTTCCAAGCAGGCCTGTGGTGGAAAAAAAGAAGGCCATGGCTAAATCGCATGGAATCATTTATTCAGCTGCTCAGTCACCGCAACACCCTAAATCATGTGGTACAAATCATGGAGTGGAGCTCAGGCAGCAGAGCAATGGACATCTCTTGATGTTGAAATCCAAAGTTCCAAATAAGGGGTTGTGGCACATATGTCTGAAACTAAGAAACGCTGTTGTGTCCCGAGGATCATCTTTACCATGTCGCTCAACTGAACTGCGTAATGCTGAAACCACTGAATGTGTTAGACACAATGGTGATAGTTCGGGCACATCTAGGTATGTTAAAGTATGATAATGAATAATGATACTTCTCCAATCCTGGTTGAGTAGACATATAGTCACAACTACTTTTCAAAGTATTTTTTTATTGAGTGATCAATAATATGTAATAGCTCGAAGTTGATACAGTTTTATCAACTTCATTTTCCCATGTCAATTGTTTTAGTGCTTATTTGTTTTATTTTGGCTGACCATGTACCATGTCATGTAAATCTGCACTTTGCCTGTAAATTTGTCATATGCATTATTGCCAAGAGGTATAAGTCTTTCTATGAACCTTCTGTAGGTTAGATATATTATAGATTGTTCCTGTAAACATTAACACCGTAAAGTAATTTCTTCAGTCTTGAAGAAACAGTATTCCTAAAATAATTTAAATTGGGAGACTTTCAAGAAAGTGCCTTCCTTATTCTTAAAAACTAATATATAATAATCAATCTGAAAGGATTCCTAGACTTGTGGATGATGAGAACATCGAAAATTTTGATAGCTGGCTTAACTGTGATAGCTGTCTTCTTTTAAATACTCCCCAACTAATGCCCAAATATTGGTTCTGGAAGTTTAGCACACTTGTAAACAGAAATACAAATAATAACACATGAATGTCAATAGTTGTAACCCTTAAGGTACTTAGTACTCTTTATACACCTTCTTGGTAACATTTTATTTGGCAAATATTTCATTTAACTGAACAGTAACTTTTTCCTCAGGTTCACATCACCGTTCATCTATCCTTAAAGGTCATTCACTAAATTTTAGTTCTAAATTATTTTCCAGTGGCATGCTATTTTCACTAAATTTTAGTTGCATATTAACTTTTCCCAGCATGCCGTTTATATAATCTCTGCACTTTTTGATACATTTCCATAACTTATTATCTTTACGCAGTTGCTCAAGCAGTGTCGAAAACATCCTATCCTTATTTTCAGTTAAATGTGCACTGTTTGTTTATTAATATTGGCATGTGCTAGATAATGAAAGTATAGTCGATGCTATTCTTAAATTTTCAATTATTGTTTCAGAGCACAAGGCGAAAATGAGCATCCTACTAAACCTGAGAAAATTATTCATTCAACTCAGGNTCGCAGTTGCTCAAGCAGTGTCGAAAACATCCTATCCTTATTTTCAGTTAAATGTGCACTGTTTGTTTATTATATTGGCGTGTGCTAGATAATGAAAGTATAGTCGATGCTATTCTTAAATTTTCAATTATTGTTTCAGAGCACAAGGCGAAAATGAGCATCCTACTAAACCTGAGAAAATTATTCATTCAACTCAGGGCTTAGCTGAAGCTTGTAAATTTGTTCACAATGATGCAAAATATGTTAATGAAAGGGCGCGGAGTGATATTGTCATGCTTTCTCGGTAAAACATTGTTCCCCTCTTATCTATGTAAGCATTGCAGCAGTAATCTCACTTCTGTCCTTGTCCTCACTGTCATTATTCTTAAAGGGACCTGGAATTGGCAGTTGTTACCTATTAGATAATAAGTGTTGGGAGGTGAATATGATTTTTAAGTCAGGATGAAATTTGATGCAGCTTCATAGTACAACTTCCTACTTGCTTAAAGTGCTAGTTTTAGTATATTCATTATCAATATAGAATCTTCAAGAACATTATGGGAATAGTGTAATCTTGTTTTTGGATATTGGGGAATTTCGTGAACTGTACAATGGTCATTGGCAAAAGTATAAGAATTGTAAGTTTTTCATAGGCTATCACAGANGCAGCTTCATAGTACAACTTCCTACTTGCTTAAAGTGCTAGTTTTAGTATATTCATTATCAATATAAAATCTTCAAGAACATTATGGGAATAGTGTAATCTTGTTTTTGGATATTGGGGAATTTCGTGAACTGTACAATGGTCATTGGCAAAAGTATAAGAATTGTAAGTTTTTCATAGGCTATCACAGAGCATTTTATAGATTTTGGTTGAATATGAAAATCTTTTATTTATTTGAGCTGTTCATAAATGTTTGAGATCGGGCTTGATTTGGTAGCATCGCCCTTTGTAATGATCTGACCCAATCAATCTATCTTGTTATATTTTTACTCTGGCTTTGTTAACTATCTCTTAAGTGAGTGAAGTGACCCATTGCGATGGGGCACTCACTCTAACAAGGAACATGGCAGTTTCGTCTGNATCTTTTATTTATTTGAGCTGTTCATAAATGTTTGAGATCGGGCTTGATTTGGTAGCATTGCCCTTTGTAATGATCTGACCCAATCAATCTATCTTGTTATATTTTTACTCTGGCTTTGTTAACTATCTCTTAAGTGAGTGAAGTGACCCATTGCGATGGGGCACTCACTCTAACAAGGAACATGGCAGTTTCGTCTGTCACGTTATTGTGAAAGACCAGATTGGCCCGTTCTGCCATAAGTATCTCCATATTCCGCACTAAAAGCAACTATTTTCCCAATTGTGTTAAATTTTGGTTGTCGGGGGTAGGTTAGTGATTTTTTCATTCTATGAGTTGTCTTGTATATATTTCATGAATTCAATAAGAATTCATCTGANTTTATTGTGAAATACCAGATTGGCCCTTTCTGCCATAAGTATCTCCATATTCCGCACTAAAAGCAACTATTTTCCCAATTGTGTTAAATTTTGGTTGTCGGGGGTAGGTTAGTGATTTTTTCATTCTATGAGTTGTCTTGTATATATTTCATGAATTCAATAAGAATTCATCTGAGTCTTCTTATGATTTGCAATTTCATTAGTGGCATAATGAGATTGGATGCTCGTGCCCGCCAAGACATTGCTATTCTTAGTTCAGAGTTTCTTAAGCTTGATGGTAAAAATTCTTTGCTTTCTGAACCCTGCATTGTCATATCATGGGTTTCTATTGATGTGTTATATGCTAATATTTTTATAGCTTCACTCCCACTGGAAACGGATGATATATTCTTACTACAATGCACTTGGAATTCTGCTTTCTATTTCTTGTATAATTTTACAATTAGTACTTGATGTTGTATTCATAAAAGCAATGGAGTTAATTCAACAAAGCCATTCGTAAACTTTTACTTCCTTTTTCTGGTGAAAATATCCCACGCACAATTGTTTGTATGGGTGATGTTAATGAAGTTTTTTAAAGAACAGATTTAGTGCAATAAGACAAAATGATTGATCTCATTACAAGTTCCCAANTTGTATTCATAAAAGCAATGGAGTTAATTCAACAAAGCCATTCGTAAACTTTTACTTCCATTTTCTGGTGAAAATCTCCCACGTACAATTGTTTGTATGGGTGATGTTAATGAAGTTTTTTAAAGAACAGATTTAGTGCAATAAGACAAAATGATTGATCTCATTACAAGTTCCCAAATGCTCCATCTTTGATATGATTTTCGCTGCTAAACTTAAAGTTCTATCAAATTAACTTTTTACTGGCTAGCTCGGGCTCGAGAGGATACCGAGAAAATAGACCATAATGTGAAGAGAAGAGCTGAAGGTCTTCATCAGATTGCAACTGTATGAATTTTCAATAAGTCATCAATTTCGTCTTTTTTTAGACCAGGTCATACTGTTGCATTCCCCCTTGGGTGATGTATTAACTACTATTGTGCCCTTACCAGATTTTGAAGAACAAAGCTCAATCTAAATTGAAAACTGTCGCTGATCGACATTGGAGTGATGGAGCTTTAGAGGTGCACTTATTNGTATTAACTACTATCGTGCCCTTACCAGATTTTGAAGAACAAAGCTCAATCTAAATTGAAAACTGTCGCTGANCCCCCTTGGGTGATGTATTAACTACTATTGTGCCCTTACCAGATTTTGAAGAACAAAGCTCAATCTAAATTGAAAACTGTCGCTGATCGACATTGGAGTGATGGAGCTTTAGAGGTGCACTTATTGACAATCTTGTCTTTATCTCCATGTTTTTTTATCTTATATAGTTCAATTCGCTTCTGCCTCCTTAATAGGTTATGAGTTGCATCTTTCTTTACTTTTTTGGCCTTCTGTGCCATCCATTCACTCATAGCTAGAATTTCAATCAGTATGCATACATGAAAGGTGGANTATAGTTCAATTCGCTTCTGCCTCCTTAATAGGTTATGAGTTGCATCTTTCTTTACTTTTTTGGCCTTCTATGCCATCCATTCACTCATAGCTAGAATTTCAATCAGTATGCATACATGAAAGGTGGAGTTCATAGTTGTTTTCTTATTAAAGTATGATCACATGTGTTTCCTTCAGAAGAGGATCTGGGGAACTTTTCAAATCTTGCTGTTAGGCTTCACGAAGATTTCTTCCCTCGTGGGAATATACAATGAAGATTTCTCTGTTCTCTTCAATCTAGAAATTCCTTTATTTCCATTTGCTACCTCTATTTTATTTTTCTCATAAAGGCCTTCTTTCCCATTTTGCACACAGAAATTTATCATTTTTAATGAGGCTACTCAGGCAGTGAAGTGAGAATATTTGAATCCCCTAAATGATGGAAATGTCCTCTTATGACTTTTGGCCCCTCAAAAAAGAAAAAATTTGATCATGCCTTTGATTCAGTATGCTATATTACCGTCAATCTTTTAACGTCATTAACCTGACTAATGCAGGATGAAAGTATATGTAGGTTATTGTTAGTTCGTAGATCAATCTTCTGTGAATTTCTCATTCAAGTTCTTTAGGCTTTGCAATGTGACAATATGAAATTTGAACCAACCTCTAGTTGTTCATTCTCAGGCCGATTTGCGGCGAGCCGACTTCTGTGCCAAGCAGCGTGCAATGGAAGATGCCCTTTTGGCTTTGGAGGTACGATTACTCAGCAGGCTTCTTGTCCCGATGACATAATGGAGCAATTTCCATCTAGTGATGTACAGAAAACATGTTACTGAAAAATTAAAAGAGATGTACAGTAAACATCTAGCTTCATTGTCCTCATCCCATTTTACCTTTCTTTTTACACCCAATAGTCTCCATTTTTGGTTTGTTTTTTTTTTGGGGGGGGGGGATAAGATGACTTGTCACATTTTACCTTTCTGAATGATCATTACAATTTTATTTCTTGCCTTCATGACTCATATTTGTGTTTTGTTTTATCGCAGTTTATCAAAAACATCCATGACATGATGGTGAGCAAGATGTACAAGTTGTAAGTTCCCTGTGGAGTTGTCAATTTTATGGGCAAACTACGAAGTTTGTAGTGAACTTACACAGGCTTGAAATCTTTTAACTTTATTCAATCCTCCATAGTCCATACAGGAAAAAAGGTTCTCTATCTACAAATGACATGGCAGGGCGTATAACACTTGAAAAGAATGGGAAAACTCTTGCCTTCTTCCCCTGGGGAGTATCTACGGATGGCATTGCTGTAATTCAGGTCCTTCTCAATGGCCCCTATGTGTTTGATCCTCCACTAATAGCATTAGGGATCAAATAATGTGTATCACTATGTTTGACAATGGACAGGAAGCTTACTGGAGCATAGCATCTGCACTCTCGGAAGCTGATGGAATTGACTATACTGATCCTGAAGAGGTTTGAGATAAAAGGAATTCATCAAACAATAATCTAATTATGTTGCAAATCTTGTTCATCTATGATTGTATCATCTCTGGAACAGCTTGAGTTGTTGGTTACAACACTCATCAACCTTGATGCAATGGATGGTAAAAGTAGTGTATCATTACTGGCAGAGTGCTCGAGTTCTCCTGATGTGAATACTAGGTAGCTTTTCTCTTCACTACTCAAAACATCTCTTTTATCCTTATAATACAACATATTCTAGAATGGGATTATATCTTGAGTCTTGTGTTACAGTTCAATTTTTTCCGCTTTTTCTTTTCTACTTTTAGGTTATGAGTATGGATTAAAATGAATGAGCATATATATCTTACTCGTCAAAGAGTTTCTCCAGCCTGCTGNTGCTTTTTCTTTTCTACTTCTAGGTTATGAGTATGGATTAACATGAATGAGCATATATATCTTACTCGTCAAAGAGTTTCTCCAGCCTGCTGCTTGTAACTGGCATCCGAAAGGAAATTTTTTCATGCAGTTACAAAAGTATTCTTCAGCCTACTGGTTGTAACTGTGCATCAGAATGGAAATTTTATTATGACACAACTACTTTGCCCCAAGGTGCTTATAGTAAAGACCAACCTCCAAAAGTATATGCAACTTGAATTTTCAGAGTTGTGTTCACTGAAGTGATAAATTTCAGAAACTTGAATAGTAATTCATGATTCCTATGAGAAAAAATTGGGCTGTTCTTGTATTATGATTGTGTTAATTGTTGAACACTGGTGAAGTGTGAAGTATTTACTGTAAACCTCCAAGACTGCTTCCTTGTTATTTTCCAATTTTATGATGATTTTACCTTTCTAGTCTTTTATTATATCCTTTCCTTCTTTTTTCTTTTTTTTGGATAATTTTGTGATTCATGGTGTGCAGGAAAGCGTTAGCTAATGCATTGGCAGCTGCTCCATCCATGTGGACTCTTGGAAATGCCGGCATGGGGGCGTTGCAGGTAGATAACTTTCTCAGAGAAACGGTTTCTTCATTCTTGGTACTTTTACCTGTTCTCTTCACCATTGGCTCTGCTTCAGAGACTGGCAGAAGATAGCAACCCAGCCATTGCTGCTGCTGCATCCAAGACTATTTATGAGTTGAAGAAACAATGGGAAATAGAAGAGGGAGACAGCTGGAGGTTCATGATGAACCAAAAGCCAGTGGAAGAGNCGCTTTTTCTTTTCTACTTTTAGGTTATGAGTATGGATTAAAATGAATGAGCATATATATCTTACTCGTCAAAGAGTTTCTCCAGCCTGCTGCTTGTAACTGGCATCCGAAAGGAAATTTTTTCATGCAGTTACAAAAGTATTCTTCAGCCTACTGGTTGTAACTGTGCATCAGAATGGAAATTTTATTATGACACAACTACTTTGCCCCAAGGTGCTTATAGTAAAGACCAACCTCCAAAAGTATATGCAACTTGAATTTTCAGAGTTGTGTTCACTGAAGTGATAAATTTCAGAAACTTGAATAGTAATTCATGATTCCTATGAGAAAAAATTGGGCTGTTCTTGTATTATGATTGTGTTAATTGTTGAACACTGGTGAAGTGTGAAGTATTTACTGTAAACCTCCAAGACTGCTTCCTTGTTATTTTCCAATTTTATGATGATTTTACCTTTCTAGTCTTTTATTATATCCTTTCCTTCTTTTTTCTTTTTTTTTGGATAATTTTGTGATTCATGGTGTGCAGGAAAGCGTTAGCTAATGCATTGGCAGCTGCTCCATCCATGTGGACTCTTGGAAATGCCGGCATGGGGGCGTTGCAGGTAGATAACTTTCTCAGAGAAACGGTTTCTTCATTCTTGGTACTTTTACCTGTTCTCTTCACCATTGGCTCTGCTTCAGAGACTGGCAGAAGATAGCAACCCAGCCATTGCTGCTGCTGCATCCAAGACTATTTATGAGTTGAAGAAACAATGGGAAATAGAAGAGGGAGACAGCTGGAGGTTCATGATGAACCAAAAGCCAGTGGAAGAGGTAGACGGTCGAGAAGAGGATGGTGCAGAGACAAGCTAAGAGCTGTCCATATGAACCATACAGTAGATATCTAGATGTACCCTGTAGCTTTTAGGATAAATACTCTGATCACTGGAACTAATTGGACAAATAACTTGTATTTTGGTTTTTTTTTTTTGGTCCAAATGTGTTTTGTTAATTGTTAGTAGTTCTTTTTCTGGAAAGTTGATGGTTCGCATGGTAGTAGGGTAAAGGGTATAAGTTTCTGTGCTTATTTTTGCCTAATTCTCCTTGTGCTTTGCTGCAATTCTGAAACATACAACTGATAGATGAGAATCCTCCAGGTTATATCAATGGTTCTCTCTGCTGAGCTCATAAACTTGACTTGAGATAAGTTAGTTTTTTCTTTGTAGAAGATTTTCTACGATATGTTTTTTTTCGAAAACTTTTCATTCTAATAAAATGTATGCACATAAACAAATATGTTTTTTATTTCACTTTCCGCTACATTCATTTTCATTGTTTTTACTATTTATCTAAACAAATCATAAAGCAAACTATCCATCTATCAATCAAGTTTACAAGAAGATAGGTTGACAAACCTTCTCTTCTTATCTCTTAAATTTCTAGATTTTTGGATTATTAAANCTGGTTGTAACTGTGCATCAGAATGGAAATTTTATTATGACACAACTACTTTGCCCCAAGGTGCTTATAGTAAAGACCAACCTCCAAAAGTATATGCAACTTGAATTTTCAGAGTTGTGTTCACTGAAGTGATAAATTTCAGAAACTTGAATAGTAATTCATGATTCCTATGAGAAAAAATTGGGCTGTTCTTGTATTATGATTGTGTTAATTGTTNCAAGAAGATAGGTTGACAAACCTTCTCTTCTTATCTCTTAAATTTCTAGATTTTTGGATTATTAAATGAAAAACAATCTTTCATCCGTTCAACCTCCAACACCTTTTTTTTTTTTNACTATCCATCTATCAATCAAGTTTAAAAGAAGATAGGTTGACAAACCTTCTCTTCTTATCTCTTAAATTTCTAGATTTTTGGATTATTAAATGAAAAACAATCCTTCATCCGTTCAACCTCCAACACCTTCTTTTTTTTTTTTATCCCTTTTAACTTCTCATCCTCTAATTTATCAACTTTTTTTTCACTTCTCTAATGTTGGTACCGGTGGAGATGTAAATTTCATTCATCGCATGGTCCGACCGTTTTTTTAATATAGTAATAAAAAAAAGATAAATTAGAGAATGAGAACTTAGGAAACCTTTGCCTCTCAGTAATTTTTTTTTTTTAACTTACAAAATATGATACATTTAACTAAAATGAAATATTTCATTTAGTCATATTCTACCAAGTGGTCTACACAACTACCCCTCCNGCCTCTCAGTAATTTTTTTTTTTTAACTTGCAAAATTTGATACATTTAACTAAAATGAAATATTTCATTTAGTCATATTCTACCAAGTGGTCTACACAACTACCCCTCCACGATAAATATTAGGAGAAATATTGTCTGAAGTCGACTTAAAAATATTTTGCGTTGCAAACGAAAGCTTTTACCGACGTTTGAGTGACTAAAATAATTGATTTCTAGGCGTATGAAATAAGTTTTGCTGCCTAAGTTGTATTGCTGTGCTTGCACCTGGGATGAACACAACTGTAAATTGCATTTGACATAAAACAACATTCTGTAATCTTTGAAGTCTCAGAACAGTGTAATTTTTACNAAGTCGACTTAAAAATATTTTGCGTTGCAAACGAAAGGTTTTACCGACGTTTGAGTGACTAAAATAATTGATTTCTAGGCGTATGAAATAAGTTTTGCTGCCTAAGTTGTATTGCTGTACTTGCACCTGGGATGAACACAACTGTAAATTGCTTTTGACATAAAACAACATTCTGTAATCTTTGAAGTCTCAGAACAGTGTAATTTTTACCCCTAATGGGTGAGAGTACTCGGGGTTGAAAACATTCCTGACACCACTTACAAGAATAAAATGCACAATTTTTTTTTATGTACAAAAGAATGAGCAAAAGAGTACAAAGAAGGAAGCAAATATTGTGGAAGACATAATTTCTAGTACCACACAAATCATATGAAATCAAGCACTGTTATCTGGGGGAAATTTCATCTCTCTTCAATAGCAGTTCCCCCGACCCATTCCTCTTGAAAAGCTTCTCAACCACATGATTCCAGTTTGTTCTTGCGTCACAGGGCTTTGTTTTAGCTGTTGAAGCTTCTTTACCCTCATTTTGAGATGGTCCCACATCCTTTTGGCCAGAAGTCGATTCCACTTCAATGTCCCCAGAGGGTTCCTCTTCTGGGGTGGTCACAGCATGAGGTATGTTTAAAGTAACTGCTCGTTTTAATGCATCCTTGTGTTCTTTTTCTATCGTTTGCAACCTCTCAAGCTTCTGTACTTTTGGGGGAGTAGTTACAGTCTCGGTACTGCACTCCTTCATTCTCTACAAAAAGATGCACACTAAGATGCTGTGATAAACTTTTCTCAGCAGAACAGTTCAATTTATAAGTGGTGAGCATGAGATTTTAAGACCTACGAAAGATAAATAACCCCAGATAAGGTTCCTCTTCTGTTCCTTTTTCTTTTATATGTTGTTCTGAAGGTATAAATATGCACATGGTGAAAAGTCATGAACACACAAACCACAGTTCAAGAATTCTCATGAATGTTGCAACGTTTGGGTTTGAGAGCCTCTGTAGAGAAGAGATTCAGTCAGAATAGTTTCTCTGCTTAGCTTAAAATTTAAGGGTTCATTTTACCTTTCAATAGTACAGTCCACAAAGGTCACCTATGATTTAGAGTATGCACATAGCCCCCTTCGTACTATGGACTAAATCCAACAACTAAACAGATTGATCGCGCCCAAAAGAGGACATTAATACCCTTCATATTCTTGTTTGTTCGACTACTTTTTTGTCTCGACACCAAATCACTCTCATACTTAGAAAATCGAATGGAGACTTAATTTTCAGAAGTAGATAGGAAACTTATAATATTTACAAGGCTATATTTGTCTTTTCAATTCACTAATTTTATAGACGGGACATTTTGACTGATTTTACTCAAGATTTTGACTTTGTTCGACAACCATGAGTTTGAATGGAAAAACTGTTGGTTTCACCCCAATCCATTATCCTAACTGGGTTTCATGCATGTTTCTGGTGCACAAGCTGGTATGATCAAACCACAAGAAAGTAAAATATATTTCTGGGAAAGGCAAAATGACACAGTGACCTGACACAAATTTTGTGAAATATTAAAGTGGTAGAAGTGATTTAAATCCTATAGGCTTACTTTTGTGCAAATACCATGCATTATACCAATGTTGTGTATTTCTAAGTTTTTGAATCATCTTCCCATATTAAAAGGAAAAAATTGAAAATATACATGCAGCTTAAGCCATTTTTTATGTTACATTGTCAATATCAACAATGTATATCACAATTTTACTAATATTTTTTTCATTTGGATTGTGTGGCCACTATTAGAGCATACAACCTAAAACAAATTGACAATAAGTGGAGAGGCCTTGTTAGCATATAAACCAACCTTTAGTGATCTTAAGCATTTGATATGGGATACAAACTCTCTTTACATCTTCCCTCACGGGGACTCGACCTCACAGGTGCAAACAAGCAGACAAACATGCATAGCGAGAAAGTCAAATGGGTAAGCGATTTTGCCCACTAACCACCCAAGGTCTAGCTCTGATACCATGTTAAAGCATCCAACCCAACATCAATTGGCGATGAGTATAGAGTCCACTTAAGCATATAAACCAACATTAGGTGGTCCTACTCATCTGATGTGGGATACAAACACTCTTTAGAGCCACATCCACTTATGAATATTGAAACAACAAAGCTTAGTTTCAATCAATAAAAATTGTAACAATCATGGACGTTCCATGCAATAGATAGTTATACTCGGGCGATAGCATCGTTATTCATCTTGCTTCATCGCTTTTTTTTTTTTTTAAAAAAAAAAAGGATGTTTCTTCCATTGTTTTTGAAGACTTCAACCTGGATTCTTGACATTCTGTGCTTTTACTATGAGTATCTATGATTCATATAAGTCCCTTATTCGCGTTCTGTCATCACCCCCAAAATTTACTCGGATTTGATGAAACAAAATACTCCAATAGGGGGATAGGGTCTTTTTAATACCAACTGCATATTTTATCCACCTAAAAAAGTAGGTCTACCATATAGACCCTCGGAAAGATAATAGGTCCTCCATCTCTTCTATATCAGTATGATGACAGTTAGATTCTAAAACCTTCTTGGATTGGTTAAACATTCTGGAGCTTTACATTAAGTGGTGTGGTATGACCGGTAAGCCCCGAGGTCGTGATGCTAAAATGTTTCCTATTGGTTTTACCAAGCAACAACGGCAAAGAATCTAAAAGAACTTAACCACATAAGAGTTAGGAGTGTCGCCATCACATTGTGGGGTGAAATGACACAAAAGGTTGAAAGTAAAATGTATATTGACCAGTGGCCCAATCTTACGCAACAATCTTCTAGTGTCCGCTAATTATCTTGCACAATTTGACCATCTCAGGGAAATGTAGGACACTAGTGCTAAACCCTGAATTGTTATCGATCAATTTATTCTTCCAATAAAATCAAATATCAGTTCGAGAGATTAAGCTATACTCTTTCAACACTTAACATAGGCCTACCATTATGCTTTAGAAGTTGAAAATTTTTATAGGCCATCCAACTATAGGTAAATGACTTCTCAGACTAGACAGACCGCTATGAGATAGTTCCTAATGAGAGAAATGGCTTGTTGGACTCTGAAATGCAACAGAAATCTGACAAAATAAAGAGTTTGTCAGATTGATCCAGTGAAATTCTGGTAATATACCAGAATCTCTCTGAATGAAGGACCAATCATTTGTCACCTAATCTTGAGATGATTTCTTTGACCCATTCTGACGGACTTCTTGTCCTTTGAACGAAACTTAAAAAGTTTTCAGGGGCCATGGTGGGATTGCAGGACTTCCATTTCCAAAATAAATCATTCCGTTTCCGGCCCCCAGCCCTCCACACTAGTCTTCCATGTTTTGAGTGGTGAAGTTTGGTTTGGGTATATTAAGTCAGGAAATCAAAGCATTTAAAATACTGAACCAAAAAAGTTTTTGTTTTGGGTAGCTAATAGAAAAGGAGATAGTAAGTACAGAATGTATAAAAAGGCTGCCCACTTACTTGGAAAGCCTTTTCTGCTTCTCTTTCTATCCAAATAATTGCATGATCAGATGTAGCGTTGCACGATAAGACAATATGTTCAAATCTCCCATCAACAGGGATAGCAGTTCTGACTTCTGGAGGATATCTCCCACATCTGTACATACCAAGCAGTGAAAAATTCAGTTACAGAGCTTGTTTTAGTAGCAGTCAAAAATTATCGTCAGTGTGGCTTGAGAAATAGCACTACACAACAATTCGAATGGATGTTGGAAGGTTATAATTTAAACGACAAGTGTTTTGTTAAATTAAACTTTTGTTTGGATCAACCCATGTATAACTTTTATGGATCAATTCATGTATAACTCTAGTATTTAACTTCTATTTTTTTACCAACCGGTCCCAAGCATGGGTAAAGGAGGAGAGTTCTATTAGGTAACTGAGAGTCAGCATAAAAATTCTCAGATCTCTAAAAAATCTTAATTATAAGAATCAATTATGTACAATTTGAAACCCTACTTAAAAAGAAACTATTTGAATTGTCATACAAAGGAATGGCCAGAATGAATTTTGCAAAAACACCGGGCATAACTAAACCTAGATGTGTACATCTTAGTAATACCTTTATGAGTGAGGCCAATATCTCGACTGACATGACTATTTCCAATATAGAATTGAGAGCCCAACGTTGGTGTAATTGTAAATAGCTGACTTGAAGTTTGATTGCATGATAAAAAGGCTGTAGTGTCATCCACCAGTAGCATTCTCTCAATTACCCTTTCCAGTCTTTCTTACAGTAGTCCCTGGGGAAACTAGATAGCAGGGTATGAGTATTGCTTTGGATTCTGGTGTTTCAAAATGGAACTGCAAGTCACAACCTAAAGGTGGAATCCAAGGCAAATGAGCCCATACCATATCATCAGTCAGCAGATACTTTAGAAGATGTTTGCCTCACAAAGTAATTGGTAATTCTGCTGCTTGGATCTATGACGAAGATGATAGAGTAATATACTAAAAGCTTGCTTTTTGTAGTGAAATTTGTTTTATTAATTAATAAAAGTTTGTTCTTTCCATTTTATTGAAAATTTATATGGACAAAATGTTTGCATTATATTTAACATATGGTATGCATGTGTCTTATATTTTACTTGTAGATAATCTGGTGTGTAGAGTTCGACTTATGCACAAAAGACCAGATTATCGAATTCTTGTATAATATGAATATAGATTCACAATCCTAGATGAAATTGGATACACCATTAGTATAATTGTAATGTAATATTCTGACATAGTCTATCTTGACTGTAGGAGACTGTTTGATGTCTTAAATTATTGCACTAATACACTTTATGTATTGAACAGGCCTTTGTTGATGTTATTATTTTTTACTGATTCAATAAGATAATAAATACCTCATGATTATNGGAGACTGTTTGATGTCTTAAATTATTGCACTAATACACTTTATGTATTGAACAGGCCCTTGTTGATGTTATTATTTTTTACTGATTCAATAAGATAATAAATACCTCATGATTATTATGATTGTTTATACTCTTAATCCCAAAATATTTAATTAGCACGTGCACATAATATTTCTCACTTTAATTCATCAAGGAATGAGATTCATATTGAGTCAATAAGCTCGGTAAATTGGGATACAATATTATTTGTATGGTAAAAATTAATTATTAAAGGAAATCACGTTCTAGTATTTAAATGAGTTGATAATTGAGAAAACTCATAAATTTTGTTCATATCAAACCCTGCAAGTGGATTTAATTATCTGACATGACAAATAAGTTGAGTGATAAGGTCTCAAGGAATAAAACAAGTCAATTAAATGTAATTATCAATAATTTAATTAATTGATGGACATCTGTAATTTTAAACGTGGAGAGATTATTAAGCATATAATAATAAGAAATTCGAATAAAATTTGAGATAAGGCTCAGGAGGTCAATAATAAATTTTTAGTGGACTAACTTATTATTAATGGACTGTGTTTGTTCTGGGTTGAACGTAGAAATTCTAGGCCCATTGGAAGTTCAATTCTAGGCCCATTGAAGGACATACAAAAGAAGATCGTGAGGTTCAACGAGCTACCTTCTGCGTCTGTCNGTTCGAATAAAATTTGAGATAAGGCTCAGGAGGTCAATAATAAATTTTTAGTGGACTAACTTGATGGGTTAAGCCCAAGTAATCCAATTTATGTATTAAAGCCCAACTCCGATTGAGGAGCCCAACCTCATCGTGAATCCACCAAGCCAAAGGAGCCCAAGGCCGGTCAGACTTCTTGCTTAGCACGTCACCAAGAGGAGAGCACGGGAAGTTTATCTACACCGCCTTAGGGAGCCCAAGGCCGGTTAGACTTCTTGCTCAGCACGTCACCAAGAAGAGAGCACGGGAAGCTTATCCGCACCACCGAAGGAAGGAAACGGTCCAATCATGGAACACGTTTCAAGAAGAGCTCCCCAACCTCTTCCTTCCGTTGAGGATAAGTCTTGATCTCCACCAAAGATAATCTCTAAGCTGCGATAAAAAAGCCTTGAGGATATGTCATGATCTCCACAAGAATGATCTCTTATCTACTATAAAATGGCTCTAATCTGGGAGAGAAAAAAACACATGCTCCATCAGAGACTTACCAAAGACGAATCGACTTCCGAAGAGTACTATTTTCTTTGATTCTCCATTCTCCCTCTCAAAGCTTGTATCTCCATTCTCCATACCTTTGAATCAATAAAATACCCGGCGACTGAAGCCATTGAAGAGTGGACGTAGGTCGAATTGACCGAACCACTATAGATTGTGTCTTCTTTTAATTCCTTCGTTGATTTTATTGTATTTATTATCTATACTTGACAGGTGGTGTGCAAAACCATTTTTGTGCATCATCATAACTTATTATTAATGGACTGTGTTTGTTCTGGGTTGAACGTAGAAATTCTAGGCCCATTGGAAGTTCAATCCACATTTCTCCTTAGGATTTCTGTCATAACCTATATATAGCTATCTAGACTCTCTAAATCAATACCAATTCATTACTCGCATTTTGAAAGAGGCTGTGAGAGAGAGAGTAGAAGTTCAGAGGTTCTTGCAACTCACACTGCATCTAGATTTTTAGCGTTGAAGGACATACAAAAGAAGATCGTGAGGTTCAACGAGCTACCTTCTGCGTCTGTCTTCTGTTTTCTGCATTTGTGCTAAGATGAGATCAAACCAGAGCGATCTCGAAAGTAAACCCTAATTCCGCTTTGTAGGGTTTTTAAAGGAAAAATTTTGTATGCAATACATACGTATTGTCAATGATTCTTGGAATTTTCGTTCTAAGAGAAGAAACAACTTTTAATTGAACACCTATTTTGAACGATTTTTACAGCTCACAACCGCTTCAAGGTGGGGGGTGTCTTATGGCTTAAATTACTTGAATAGTAAATAGGAAGTCAAGATTATACCTTGACTTCATTGATTTAATTAGAGATAAGTTTCGCATGCCTTCAATACTTAGCATTGCTTACAGAGATATCCAAAATGCACAATCGTATTACTATCTCTAATGAGTCAGATCTACGAAATTCAATGGTTTCAGCTTTAAAGCTGTCCCAGATGAGAGGCAATGGGGCCTTCAAAGTTAAATAGAACACAAGCTGGCTTTAAATACATACATACACAGCACACAAGTCACAGGTTGGCTAAGAAAGGCATTCAATATAATAAAAATAAGGCATTTGGAACAGAAGTGTCCCTTGTTTACTGCGATGTTACCTGCAAAATCTTCTTTCTACAATATGATACATCCGTCCTGGTGCATACAACCTTCTTGGATCTCTGAGCTTCCTACCTTCTCGTATTAAGGTATCCCTCAAGCAAACCAAAAATAATAAACAAGGCAAGCTGTCCAAAGCATTAAGGCCTGGTTTAAAAGATAATAATAGCAATTCACTCCTCCAGGAGGCAGAAACTCAAAGTGTGTGCGAAATATTTGCGGGGTTCATACAGCCTCTAGATATATCAGAGAGTGAAGACAACTAACCAGAAGAGGGATTTAAATATATCTTCCAATGGAGTGGGAGTTCTTGGTAGGAAGTCATCCTGGAAAAAATCAAGTTAAGGTGACACAAACTGTCAATTTACTGAATTGGAGATATTTCACCAGCTTTTGATAAAAATGGGGGAAAAAGGATTAATATGAAATCAACAAACAAGGAATGCATGGCTTTTCAACAAATATGGATGGGCTTATCACACACATGATTCATATCAAGCTGAATGAAAATCAAATCAGACTACAAAAGCACACACTGAAGGAGAATCAGGGAACCATTCCTCTAAAGACTCTTCAGCATGCCATACAGGCTGGTAAGGATATATTTTTGAGAAGCTAAAGAGTTTGTATTTTGAACAATTCAGGAGCCCTAACTTTCCTGCTCACCTAGCCACCGTTGAGATCATCAAACCTTTGACCTGATCTCATATTTGGAATAATCTTGGTAAATATAATGAAGGGGATAGTGGTTTCCAAGAGAAAATTTTGAGAAAGGTATGGAAAATTGGAATTGAGATAGCCTTACGCGGCCATACGTGCAACATAAGGCAAAGTATGTCAACTATAACACCTTTTTTTTTTCACCTTAGGACATCCCAACTCCAGATGGGGGAGGACACCATTCACAGTTCACTGCAACAAAGATAGCTAAAACTTCGTAAATACCATATCAGCACTCAGTCTAGCACAAAACTAGTTGCAAAAGCTGTAGTCAACAATGAAATCCGTCAAATTTGAATTCAATTGAGAAACCAGGTTCATTTTTTGCAAGATTTCAAATTTACAAATGCAGAGTTTCAGAACTGGAAATCAAGTATATATCTTGCTTGTGTTTCCCAAATCTGACATACTAACGAATGCTTGCCAAGGACTTTAGAAAGTGTGCACAAAAGCCATGAACAGTATCATCTACTGAAATCCACAATTCTAAACCCATGAACAGTATCATCTACTGAAATTAATAAAAGCCCANACATGGGATACCACAAAATCCACAATTCTAAACCCATGAACAGTATCATCTACTGAAATTAATAAAAGCCCATTTTTTTATCTGTATTATTAACAAAAGATAATTGAATTCATCTAAGTATGTAAACAAGAAGAACTGTCAAAATAAGAAGAGGTATACTCAGGCAACTCAGCAAACAGAAAACCACAATCAATCAACAACCCAGAAACAAAACCACACATTAGAATATAAATACATCTCACCTGCAACACCACGGAGTATATAACGTCGGCATACTTCACGGCCAAATTAAGTGACATACACCTTGCCGGAGCCACCGCATAACACCGCACATTACTCCTCGGAATACCCCCCAAGTCATTCCTATGATTCACCACAATCACCGTCAACAAGGCCGCCACACCGGACCCCAAAGAATGCCCAGCAAAAATCATCTTATATGACTCCCCATTCTCAAGCCACAGTTTCTTCAACGTCTCAGATTCTTCGTTCAGCAGCCAAATCGCCGATTTTAATAGCCCGTGGTGCACATATCCACCGTCGAACATCTGCATCCCCAGCCGATTATCAAGGAGTAACTTGTAATCGCTCTCTTTGCCTAGGTTTAATCCTCGGATTGCGAGTATGATTTCTCGGTGATCGTGGTCAACGTAGATGGTGTATGGCGGCGCTTGGCCCTCGGTTTGCTCGTAGGTCACACGCTTGATGAGCCAGTCAGGGTTGAGTCGGTAGCCATTGGTAGGTGGAAATTTGGGGTTGCGGAGGTCGTCCTCGTAGACGGCGAGGATACAGCGGCAGACGCGGGGGACCGGCTCGAATTCGTCGGCGGTGGCGGTGGTCCAGCTGGCGCTGTCGTCGGAGCCGATGTATGTGCAGCGCTTCCATCCCCACCGGAGGCAGCCGAGTATTACTACGCATTCGACCCCGCAAGTCACCGACATGAGCTAGTCCAGTTGATTGTTTGATGTGAGCACAGCTGACAATCAATGTTTCAGAGAGAACTGGAAGGAGAAAGTGGTGACTATGGTGGTGCGTAATGCGTGGTGGTGATGTATAGAGCGGAGCGGAGGGGCTACAGGTGGTGGAATTCAAGTGGGGTGACAGCTGGAGTGGTGGTGCTGCCCGAGAGAGAGAGAGAGAGAGAGAGAGAGAGAGGGGGAAAGTGGTAGAAGGTTCACGTGGGTGGGTATGGGATATAGAAAGAGAGAGAGATGAAAAAAGTGTGGTGTTTCAATGTCGAGTACTTACTGTGCTGATTCTGCTTCTTGTCTTCGTCTCCAAGGCAAACTTCAAGTTAATAGTAAATTTAAGGGACAATGCAAAAACTTTAATATTTTAAAAGATAAATTTAAATTAAGTTTATAATTAATTTAGGAGCAAAAGTATAACTTTTTCTTCAAATAAATAAATAAATAATATTCCTTCTTCAAAATAGATGGCTTACTTGTATACTCTTTTTACGTGTTTTTTGACCACGTAGAAGCCTTCTCCTGCAAGAAAATTTGCTAGTCCATGAAATATTAGCTAAGAATTATTGAAAAAAAATAAAATAAACACAGCTAAATTGATAAGTGAGATCTTATTCACTATATTTTTTCTTCAATATCTTTTTTACTGATTATCTATCATACATTATATATAAGTTCATTCATTAATAGTAGATGATTTACCAAAAATAAAAATGAAGAGCAAATAAATATATTGAAAGACAAAATATATTTGAAGGTGAAGAGGCCGCTGCATTGAACATCATGAACCAATACAAAAACTTTTTCCGCGTATTTTAATTTGACCATTGAAAATGGCTTGAACCTAAGTTGTATTTATGATGGACTTTTTTTATTTTTTTTAAAGAAAAACATTCCATACGTTAAAACATGTTTTCATGAGTTAGCAAAGTCTAAGATGACCCTTGACCCAAAAAGAATTCATAATTCATACCTTCATGAAGACTGATGAGGGTACCTCTACAGATATAAGAATGATAGTTACCACTACTCTCCTACGTCATAAAAGATAATATTTATCTTGAGAGACCAATACACAACATATAAAACAGATTCTTTGTCCACCAAAAATACACATTTACTGCTGCGTCCGTCAAAAATAAATATGTATTATGCCTCCGAGTTGTAATTGTTAGGTAAGAATAGAATCTAGGGTCAAGAACCTCATTTTTCATAAAGTTTTTTTTTTTTTTCTTGAAGGGCTAGGAACCTTCCCAATGTAGTGTCACATTGGACCCATCCTATCAAGATACCACCAATGACTAACAAACTACTACTATTGAATAGACCAATCAATGGATTAAATTCAGAATCTAAATTCAAATAATCAAATATAAATTAATATTTTTTTCAATAATCTAAATTTGAATCAATCAAAATTTAATATAAATCAGAGACCTAATATTGAAAGNGACCCATCCTATCAAGATACCACCAATGACTCACAAAAACTACTACTATTGAATAGACCAATCAATGGATTAAATTCAGAATCTAAATTCAAATAATCAAATATAAATTAATATTTTTTTCAATAATCTAAATTTGAATCAATCAAAATTTAATATAAATCAGAGACCTAATATTGAAAGTCACTAAAGAGAGTCCAACCAAAGATACACAAAAAAACACACACCACTACGCTTCCTCTGTGGGTTCATTCATACGGAAGAAAGAATCGGAATCCACTATATGAACCTTTTTAGGTGGCACTGAAAAATAGTCCTACCTAAAGGCCCCGCAATCCAGAGCAAAACCTTACAACACTTAACTGACCTAGATAAGTTAAGTTGGCCAACTATTGGAGAGGGTCAAAGGTTAGAGAGAAACTACTAACTACCTAACTTATAAACAGAAGAACCATAAGAANTGATCCATTGAGAGACCTAATATTGAAAGTCACTAAAGAGAGTCCAACCAAAGATACACAAAAAAACACACACCACTACGCTTCCTCTGTGGGTTCATTCATACGGAAGAAAGAATCGGAATCCACTATATGAACCTTTTTAGGTGGCACTGAAAAATAGTCCTACCTAAAGGCCCCGCAATCCAGAGCAAAACCTTACAACACTTAACTGACCTAGATAAGTTAAGTTGGCCAACTATTGGAGAGGGTCAAAGGTTAGAGAGAAACTACTAACTACCTAACTTATAAACAGAAGAACCATAAGAAGAATGAATCACTTTCAGGCTCAAGCTTCTTGCTTCTAAGAACCTCCATGACATTAGAAATAATCACATGCATGAATTAACCAAATGGAGTCTAAATCTACGTTACAATGGATCTTTAGACACTACCGACCTCCCTCGGTAGCTAGAAATATAGTCATACTTACTCCCCCTGTATCTCTTTTTTAACCAGCAAAAAACAAGAAATACACACTCTAGCGCTATGATACTTTTGAGAGGGAATTCTGATCAGATCTAAATGACTTGTTTTAGAGACACCACCTACTTGGTGCAAAAAACATGGTTCCTCCTTGGGGATAGACAAGTGGCTTCGTTCCTTCATAGAGGATGAAATCAATAAGACAATGCTTGGACCAAGTCAATTAGTGGGTGGTGCTACAAATTCAACACAAGCACGCTAGCTAATTGCCACACTGAATAGGTTACTCTATTATGCACAAATAGCCAGATAGATGGAATTGAAATTTGAACAATTTTCATACAACTGAGTCCAGGTTTAGCGTCTCCAACAACTCATCAAAGTCGTGTAAGTAAGCCTTCAGTTTTCATGGACCACGAAAGAATTCAAGGTTCGATTGAATCTGCTTTTTCGTAAATACTCCATAGGAATGCTACACTAGTCCATNTCTGAGTCCAGGTTTAGCGTCTCCAACAACTCAGCAAAATCGTGCAAGTAAGCCTTCAGTTTTCATGGACCACGAAAGAATTCAAGGTTCGATTGAATCTGCTTTTTCGTAAATACTCCATAGGAATGCTCGCTAGTCCATTCCTCCACGGATCTCTCTTTCTCTCCAATTTTTCTTTTATATTATGGTAATGCAACAAAAAAGGTTAAAAATCAGGTTGTTCCTGACGATGTATAGAGCTTTCTGATCATGCAAAATTNCGCTAGTCCATTCCTCCACGGATCTCTCTTTCTCTCCAATTTTTCTTTTATATTATGGTAATGCAACAAAAGAGGTTAAAAATCAGGTTGTTCCTGACGATGTATAGAGCTTTCTGATCATGCAAAATTTATTAAAACCTGATGTTTAAAAGTCAGTAATAGGTCGATAATCGGTATGTTAGACGATGACTAACAATGGATGAGACATCTGTCCCACGCATACAGCAAGGAGCAAGAATAGATCACCGGTATCACTAAATACTCCTACACTCCAGACATTTTAGGGCTATGCTTGCCTAACCAAATACTCCTAAAATGTACACCAAATTGGAGGGCTATGCTTGCCTAATTCAAAGTTTGTGGCTTTTATGCAAAGCACAATGCTTAAAAGAGAATATAATAGGGTATTTTTTGACAATTAATAAATCAAAAGATTTTGAATAGCTTAAAAAAACTGATGCGACAAAAACAAAATATACGAATTAAATCATGTTTTCAGAAATCAAAGGCAACTACATAAGATCATAAGAGCCAAGTTTTAATTCTGTTTGAGATTTTCTGCAATTTTCAAGTCATTTATCAACAGAAATTTACTACAAAACCAAATGTAACTGAAGTTAGGCAGAGCTATTTGGTTCAAAAATTTATTAGAGGAGGAAGTCTAGAAATTACCATGCCTTAATGAAATACATCGACTGGATGCACATAAAAAAATTTCGGATATGGCCACGTTAGACCACAAAAAATTGTCCTATAACCATTTGTTTGATTGATTTATAGTGTCTCTGAATGTAAAAATGAAAAAAATTATGTAAAATAATAAGAATACATAACTTTAAACCAGTGGTACCAAAAAATAATTTGGTGTTCATAGTTGGACAATACACTTTGAGATATCATCAACATCATCAAACATCAGACATAAGAAATCTTTTCTCATACACAGCATTGTCAGACTGTGTCAGAAGGTGTCCTAAGATTTCCGATATCATCATCTGGATGATACAATACAAATCCCCAAAGTTTTGCATCATGTATGCATTTAGGTAAAACACATTGAAAATGGATTTACAAAAAAATATGCAAAAGTCTAAAATATTAGGTGGATGAATCAGAAAGAACGTAGCAAAAGCAAATAGTGTTATTGATCCCATAAAATTGATCATCACCTTAATTTCTTTCATCATTTTCATCCTCTAAATTTCATCACACCATGTATCAGTTGTTATTCTTTTGTGTGTTTGTGAAGGAGAGAATCAAAAGACACGATTCATCAAGCATACTCAGCTTAGCCAGGTACAGTGCATGAATATTCATAAGCCTAATTATATGAAATGCTTTCTACAAATAGTAAATTTAAAGATAAAAAAATAGTTGTGAAATGCAATTGAAGGCCATATAATTCACTGAACCTGCACAAGTTAACTTACATTCCCAACAAGATATGGCAAGGAAATAGGTAAGAAAAAAAACAATTCAAGTTCCTACACGTGATACTCAGACTATTAACCATTAATCATCTCATTTCAGGAATGGGTTTTCTACAAAATTATATTTTCCTTCCCAAAATGTGTTTTCTCAAAGCAAAGATAAGATTTTTGAAGAGCTAAACTCTGTTTTTTGGAAAATATAAAACCAAAGGCTTCGTTCAACTAAATTATCTGAAANCAACTTACATTCCCAACAAGATATGGCAAGGAAATAGGTCAGAAAAAAAAAATTCAAGTTCCTACACGTGATACTCAGACTATTAAACATTAATCATCTCATTTAAGGAATGGGTTTTCTACAAAATTATATTTACCTTCCCAAAATGTGTTTTCTCAAAGCAAAGATAAGATTTTTGAAGAGCTACACTCTGTTTTTTGGAAAATATAAAACCAAAGGCTTCGTTCAACTAAATTATCTGAAAACAACTTTTGATAATTTTGAAACAAACTCAAAATGTGTTTTCTAAATTCAACAAGCAAACAAAGTTATTGGATCACTTCAAAAACTTGAAACTCAAGGCAAAAATAGGGAAAAAGGAGAGTTTTTGCTCTCAGAAAAAGGCCAAAGGTTTCCACATGAGAAAACCGGTGGACGGAAGGTTAAACCCCAAGAATTTAAGGCAAAGNTGTGTTTTCTAAATTCAACAAGCAAACAAAGTTATTGGATCACTTCAAAAACTTGAAACTCAAGGCAAAAACAGGGCAAAAGGAGAGTTTTTGCTCTCAGAAAAAGGCCAAAGTTTTCCACATGAGAAAACCGGTGGACGGAAGGTTAAACCCCAAGAATTTAAGGCAAAGTAAGAAAATCTCCCCACTTTTTATGTGCTTGATAAAAGGCTTTCATCTTCACCATATGAGAGAGAGGAATACATATCATGTGACTGATAGATCTCTCAAAAAACACACATACACCAAAGAGTCATCAAGCATCATCAAGCACAAAGAAAGTGAGAAATCCAATACTGCAAAAAAAAAAAAGACCTTAAATTCAAGAGGGCTTTCACCACCCCAATCCATCAGCCTCTCTTCAGTGTGGTTAAAGCAAAAAAAATCATCCTCGAGCAAACCCAACATATTTTCCAAAAAATTAAAACAAACAACCCACAAAAGAATGATTCTGTGCTAACGTGCGCCGATCTGAAGCCGAGCAAGCTAGGAGGAAGAACGAGGTCCTGCTAACTTGCGCAGCTTCAGATTCGGAGCAAATTAGCATGAAACCATGGATAAATCTACCTATCGAGAAAAGTGAATCTTTGGGTGTGGTTAGAGAGAGTGGACCCTCGGAGAAAACCCAACAATGGGTAGGTTATTTCAAAAAGTTTAATTTTGGGTAGGGTTTTTTTTCTAAGTGTGGAACCTACGAGAAAAAGCAGGAATCCACCGAGAAATTAGGAATCTGCATGTCCAGAGGCACCGATGATCTGATTTAGCATCTTTTCGTATTTCCTCTGTTATTAAGGAATTCAAACAGAGGAAATCATAGTGGATGCTCTGTGATTTCAAAGATCAACAGACTATTTTTCAGTATTACACAACTAAGATTTGTTTCTCTTTTTGATCAGAAGGGTAAGACGTATTAATATATAATCAAGTTCTTACCCTTTCATCAAGAGAGAGCGAGAGAGTGCAAACTTTTTTCCAGGACAAGAAAAGAATAGGAACGAAGCAGGCACATTGAGACTAGTGAGCGGTAGAAAGTTTATACTGGGGGAGATTAGGGTTTTGAGTGAAGTCCATTTTACTTTACCCACGACGTTTTCTTTAATTACATTTTTTGCCATTTATAAGCTGGGCCAGTCCGGGTTTGGGCTGGATTCGTTAAACTAGGTTTTTTTTGAGTGAAATTGATTAAAATGGTAAATTCTGGAATTTTCAAGGAAAAGGTACTTTGCTTATGTAGTTTAAGGTCTCAAAAACATTTTACTTTTTTTTTTTTTTCTTTTTTATGAAAACGGTCTAGACTTTTATTAAACCAAGGGAAAAGGACCACATGTCCACGGGCATTTTTTAAGTTTTAATTCAACCTGAACATTTTTAATGTTAAAAGTTTNGCCTTTTTTATGAAAACGGTCTAGACTTTTATTAAACCAAGGGAAAAGGACCACATTTCCACGGGCATTTTTTAAGTTTTAATTCAACCTGAACATTTTTAATGTTAAAAGTTTATAAAAATAAAACTTAACAAAAATATTCTTAATGAATAAAATTTGAGTAAAAGATATACATCAATAAACCACATTTAATTTAGAAAGATAATTTTATCTTTAAAAAACTACTTGACACGTAGTTCGGACTTAATGACTGAATTATTTCAAATAGTTATCCTTAATCTTTTTTTTAAGTGGTTATTCTCATGATGATTCAAAATTGTAACGTTAATAGTAACAATGAAGAAGTCCAAACAGGAAATAGTAACGTNTCTACTTGACACGTAGTTCGGACTTAACGACTGAATTATTTCAAATAGTTATCCTTAATTCTTTTTTTAAGTGGTTATTCTCATGATGACTCAAAATTGTAACGTTAATAGTAACAATGAAGAAGTCCAAACAGGAAATAGTAACGTTATTTCATGAACTTCAAATGGAGAAAAATAAATCATTAATGTAACAAAAAGAATAATAAATCAGTCTAAAGGGTGCAGGGTCCTTGAACTTGTTTTGTACAAAATTGGTTGCACAAGTCCCCCAAAACCTGCATGCTTACCATTTGAATACCACCACAATCGCCGGCAAACAGTGATAATTTATGTTCCTGTGAAAGAAGAAAGTGTGTTTGCAAGTCCACAAGTGAAAAACTTGGTACACGCACCCATCTTTTTCATTCAAAATTGTTGAGTATGTTTCGAAAGAACCAAGCTATAAGAGAACTGCACTCCATCCTAGAACTCCAATGATTATAAATGCAATTGAAAAGGCACCACCATAGAAGCACTGGGCAGGAGCACCTGAGCTCTTGACGTCCATAGCTGGAGCTGTGCTGTTCAAAAAGGTCCCATTTATCTTGTCACTGCTGCATGTACATGAGAGGGCATAGTTGAATCAATGCATGAACTCAAAATAGATTGTGGTTGCCTTAATTATCTACTTGCTTAAGGTAATAAGGTTATATTTTTCAGCTATGTAAAATAATACCTTCCAGGAAATATACAAGATCCACGACCTGCAAGATAGTAAAATACTTGATCAATGAATCCATTCCAAATCATCAATTAAGGTTAGTGGAGAAACATAAACTAGAGAGAAAGAGGGGGGGGGGCAACATATGGTTCGTGCTTTGCTCTTATCAGTGCAGTCTTACTTGGATTTGTAGTAGTGATTGCAGCCACCCCATTGAAGTCGCAAGTCCCCAAAGCCTTCCCCATCTGATGATAATATGTGTCAAATGCGTACGTTGCATGTGCAGCCACAGTGTCTGGTTCATAGCACGGTTTCCCCTGCAACAAGGGCGAACAATCCACCTTGCCAGATCCACAAGCCCAATCCAATGCAGCCAGCAGCATTTTTGAATCTGCACCATCCTTTGCAGCACAGTAAGTCTGGTTTGCAGTATCATTTGCCAACACTGATCCTGACCCAACCAAGTGTAGAATATAAATGGGCTTCCCATTTGCATCAAATAATCCCCAGTTCTTTTCTGATACAGGTCCTGGTTTCATATCTTCATTGTAAAGCTCGTAAATGTAAGTACTAACAGCAATTCCAGGGTGTTTGGGAGTCCCGGTTTTGTTTAGCACATGCTTTATCAAATTGCTATTATAAGTGTTTGCATTCTCTACAGTGGCATCTGGCTCATTAGAATCACCTTTCGATGGCCATCCTGACTCTGTCACTACAACAGGAATGTTGGTGAATTTGAGATAAGCCATTGCAAAGTAAGCAGCATCAACCATAGCATCAAAAACATTCGAGTAATGGAGTAGCGTGTTAGCATCAACAGCTTCTTTGTTTGAGGGAAGAGGCTTGAGGAGTGCATAATCTAATGGAATAACCCCATTGGACTGCATGTAATCATAATAGGGGTATATGTTGAGCATGAGAAATGAGCCTGTGGTTTGCAAAAAGTTGAGCGTGGGAACTAATACTGAATTCCAAGAGTGATTGAAGAAGGCTTGAGATGGTGGGAATGAATCAAGGATGAGGGAGGAAGCAAAGGGTGTTGAAACTTTGATTTGCCTGTCAAGATTGGATGCCACAAGTGCTGAATGGACAAACTTCAGAGCATTAATGAGGACAAGGGCTGCATTAGGGAGGGTGGTTAGAACCTCGGAACCAACACAAATGGTGGTAATATTGGTGGCCGGGAAATGCGCTACAACATTCTGGGATACCCAATTTGCAGCTGTGGAATTTGATTGGCCAATGCCCAGGAGCTGTTCATTGGGGACAGAGACAACCACTCTAATGCCTGTATTGGCAAGTGCAAGAAGCATGCCACGATCTGCATCGTACAGCCGGACATGTCGGATTTGCTGGGCTTTGAGGAGAGCAACTACTTGGGTTGGATGTGGCATGTCTGAGAGTTGTGTTCCAATATTCACCCCAATAAATGCATCTGCAAAAAAGGAATCAGTTGTTTGAATCAGAAAATTTATACTAACATAATCTCAAAGAATAAAAACGCAAGCACCATTCACGTTTTTCTTATTTATTATTCTAGCACATCTGAATTATATATACAAGTTTTTGGTCCCATGAGACTCGGCCTTGGGGTTATGTTGGAACTAACTAATTGTACTGTACCACCGAGGAGGGCGATACAACATGTACTGCCACAGCCAGAGACTCCACCCAAGTCTCATCAATTTCATTATTCTGATTTGGATTCCACAGATACTCCAAAAAAAAGAAATCAACCATTAGACAGATGCATTATAATATGGTGACATAGTGCAGCATGCCAGACTCTGGTAGTTATATCCCCATCAATATACAAAAAATGCAGCTTGGCATTCTCCCAAAATCTCGAACAAGTGGTCCATGTCTTCAAGTCCCCATAAACTGCAACCCAAAATGCATAGATCGTCCTAACATTATCATGGCAAAAAGTAATCTAGCAGGACAGGAGTAAACCAAATGAGCTTGAGACAAATATTTTTAGGCTATGTTGTTGTTCCTTTTCTTTTTTTTTTCTTTTTCTGTTTTTTAGGCTTTGTCTTTTTTTTATTTTAGTCGAAATGAAGAGGACACCTTGGTAATCTAGTCCCAGCTTTCTTCCATGTATCAAAACACGGTTCCAATTAGGACACAGAAAAATTACTATCATACATCCACTTTTTGTCCAATAAAAAAACATGATATGTGTAAAGTTTTTTTTTTTTGGTTTACTTCATTATTGGCATACTCAATGGCTTCACATGTATCAAACCAAGATCTACCACTCCAAATGGTATCGAAATTATTTTTTTGTGGGTACCAATACCATTGCCTTATCCACCAAACACTCAAACTCAGCCAGTAGCAATGAAGGGCTTCACTTGCATGTAACAATCAAAACCATTCTCTAACAAGACCATCTAATTATGTTCCACTGCTGGTCCCACTCTTTCATCGCCCATTAAAATCCAACCTACTAAAGTCCAGACATATGAAACAGAAAGAAGAGAANTCAATACCATTGCCTTATCCACCAAACACTCAAACTCAGCCAGTAGCAATGAAGGGCTCCACTTGCATGTAACAATCAAAACCATTTTCTAACAAGACCATCTAATTATGTTCCACTGCTGGTCCCACTCTTTTATTTCGCCCATTAAAATCCAACCTACTAAAGTCCAGACATATGAAACAGAAAGAAGAGAANGAACGGAACAGCTGGCGAGACAACGGTCATGTTCGGTCCTATTTTACAATTCTTTTTGGTTTTCCTACACTTTTTTACTCAAGGTTTTTCACATTTACCCCCTTAAACATAGATAGATTTGTCTTTTGTGGCGTGGCATGGCATGGATGTTAATGTNAAAAGGGGTCCTGTAAGCAACTTTACTCTTTCAAGCCCTCCTGTAGACTACACTAAAGTCATGTTTTGAACAATTGGTACAACACCATATTTTACCAAAAATGGGTTTATATATAGAATGCAATAAATCCTCAAAATGAATTTCTAATTGTTACTAAGACAATAAGATGGAGAGAAGTAATCAAGAGCTTAAAGAGCACACATGCAGATAATCTACTGATCACACTTCACTCCAAGTCTCGGCTTACATTATAGACAGAATGAACAATAGCAAATCAGAGTCTTAAGGGAAGCTATCAAAATACTACAAGTGAACAACCCTAACCCACCGAATGAACCAACATAAACATGCCTTCAACATAAAAACTGCAAAGCATTTAAAGAACCCAAAAGAGAAGAATGAATCGTTAAAAAAGAGACCCACCTTCGTCAGCAGAAACCACAGAGAATGCTAGAAGGAGAAAAATCAGCAATGCCATAGACTCTTCAGCCTGAACCCTCTCAACCATGCCAGAGAAAACCCACAAAATCCGAGAGAGAGAGAGAGAGAGAGAGAGATGCTGGGGAGGGGGAAGGGGGTTCTGAGTGGAGTAATGAAAGATGTGAAGGAAACCAAAGAAAATAAAGAAAAACAGAGATAGCGAGACAATGGTCAAGACTGGTAATTAAGAGAGAGATATAGTATTGGTTGCATCAATACGTGGAATCTGTCAGAAGATCGGACGGCTGAGGAATCATCTTTCTCAGTCCACAGTAAGCGCAGGTTGGGAGTGTTTTTTGCCTAGAACCAAACAATACACTTATCACATTGTTGGTAGCCGTTGTAAGCTTCTAGAGTCTCGACTGTTTGGTTTTTTGTATGTATATGTGCATGTAGGCACGTATATGGAGGGACGAGGACAGAGAGAGGGAAAGAGAGAAGGGCCAACATGTACGAACAAAGGAAACGATCACTAAGGTTGTCAAAAGAACGGAACAGCTGGCGAGACAACGGTCATGTTCGGTCCTATTTTACAATTCTTTTTGGTTTTCCTACACTTTTTTACTCAAGGTTTTTCACATTTACCCCCTTAAACATAGATAGATTTGTCTTTTGTGGCATGGCATGGATGTTATTTTTTTGCAAACAATTACTAATTTATTATTCCTTTTTTTATGTGGCAATCGGGTTTATTTTCCATTTATCTCATTCTTTATCTTTATTTTATAAATTTGGAAATAACAACCATTAATCNATTTACCCCCTTAAACATAGATAGATTTGTCTTTTGTGGCGTGGCATGGCATGGATGTTAATGTTATTCTATATTCTGTTAACATCCTTTCAAACTTTTAATGCTATTTTTTTGCAAACAATTACTAATTTATTATTCCTTTTTTTATGTGGCAATCGGGTTTATTTTCCATTTATCTCATTCTTTATCTTTATTTTATAAATTTGGAAATAACAACCATTAATCTAATTCTACATAATCGCTTGTACCATGAAACTGTTATTCTCTAATTGCTATCCATTCTTGACAAAAAAAAAAAAAATTTGTTAGCCACTAGTCAACTTTTTTCTAAATCGATAAATCTAATTATTGGAAAGCCAACATTTATTTTTTGATGTTTGCAACTAATGCTACTAAATATTGGTATTTGAATGCAAACTTCACTAACTCATTTAAATAAAAATAATGAGAACAATGTTGTGGTCTCACTTTGAAGCCTAATAGCATATGCAATAGGTTCTTTATTTCAACTTAATTATCTATTTAGACTAGCTAAAATAGATAATCTTATTTTGTTATCTATATTTGGAGAGTTTAACTCACTTTCTATTATATTTTTAATGAATTAACGATGCATGTTGTACATGAAAGTTTTTATTAAAATATTTAATAAAATACATAAAAATTTAAAGATTAATAGTACTTTTTGATTCATAAAATATGTATTTCTTGTCAGTTTAGTCTTCATTATATCAATTTGGTTATTAAAATATTCAATTCATGTCATTTTAACTCTTACATAGAAGAACCGTTAAGTTTTTGGTTAAATGATCAAGTGTTGGGCACATGAAGACACAATAATGATTAAATTGACAAAAAATGCACATTTTTATTGGCTAAAAGTATAATTAACCCTAAATTTAATTATATAACTAAATTAGATATTATATCATTTTTATCATACTTAAATTGTTTATATTGTGAATGAAGAGAAAAATATATGTATATTAATTTTTTGGCACCGAATATAATATTATTATATAAATGAAGTTGCCGATGTATATTAATATTGAAGTTTTTAAAAAAAATATTATTTGTATACATCTTGTTAAGAGTAACATGACCATCTAAATTTTTTATAAAAATTGAGCTTTACATGATATGTTATATGTTAGTTTGTTATTTAAATATTGAGGGGTATAATGGCAATCTATATATTTAAATAAAGGACATATTAGCCTTTATAATTTCTTATGAGAGCAAAATAGTGAATTAAAAGTATTTCATGTAAGGTATTTTTATTAGTAATAGAGATGAAAAAATGACGTATTTACATTCTTTATTAAACACTATTGACTATAAAACAATTTTTTTTATTATTATAATAGATACCCTATTGGAGTTGTTTAAAATATTTCGCCTTCTATTTCAATTTATCAAAATAAATAGCGCTATTGAAGATACTCTAAATTAACTTAATCCCCCCACCCAAATTTACTTCCTCATATTATTTATCTAAGTTGATTGAGCCAAATCACTTCGAGTCGTAACTCTCAAATTACTTCGCTCGTTGTTAGACTCCTCATGAAACAATAATTTTTGCTTGATTTTTGTACAATTCCTAATTCATTGTCTCATTTTGTTTCTTTTGTAATTATAAATTGATCATATTTCCTCCCTCAAATTTGTTCATAGTACTATATTGAGGAAGCCTTAGGCAAATACACGCCGGAGATTGAACAATTTGAGTGAGAAACTACTTTGCATAAATAAGGTACCGTTCTTTGAAATCAAAGTCAAGACCACATTAGATTTGTTATTTTTATGTCGTTTTGTAGATGGTTTGATATAATTAACTCTTAAACTACAAAACCGCATCTAAATCTATGCTACGTCAAATTCATAACTCTAATTTCACAAAAATACTTAATTATATGAAGTCATGACTTCAACAAGGTTTTTTAAGGTTCTCTATTCATACAACTTGATNAAGATTGAACAATTTGAGTGAGAAACTACTTTGCATAAATAAGGTACCGTTCTTTGAAATCAAAGTCAAAACCACATTAGATTTGTTATTTTCATGTCGTTTTGTAGATGGTTTGATATAATTAACTCTTAAATTACAAAACCGCATCTAAATCTATGCTACATCAAATTCATAACTCTAATTTCACAAAAATACTAAATAATATGAAGTCATGACTTCAACAAGGTTTTTTAAGGTTCTCTATTCATACAACTTGATAATTCAACATACACATCAGAGATTGAATGCATTTTGTCTATGTGTGTGTGAAGTTGCTTAGGAGCTAGGTGAGAAAATTAAGAGGAGTGAAATTGATTGACCGTAGCTTAGATTCGTAAATGAGACACACACACACACACACACACTCTCTCTCTCTCTCTCCCCCATTTGTAGCTTTGTTATGTCATCATTTTTACTTTTAGTGTTTCTGGTAATATTGTCATTTGATTTCCACGTTTTATAACAAAGTTGAGGTGATTAAGTGAGCTTTTATTCGGTACAACTGGGCTTATGTTTGCTTTGTGTCTGATAGATGGCCAGATCTTTATTTACCTTCATCCTTCGGAATTTCGGATGCAGACCCTGTCAATAATATTAGCATTCTCATGCAACTTTTTTTGATTGTTTCTTACATCATCTGAAGGTCCATGAATTTGGCCAATACAACTAGTTTGTAAGGAAAATGTCATGCTTATTAGATCGTTCACCCTAAATAATGTGGTACAATTTTTGTCATTGAATATTAATAAGACACACTTATCTGATGGTGAAAAACTGTGGTACATCATTGGAGATGAAAATTTTGTAAGAAAATTTAGTAAATATAGCATTAACATTTGTAAAAACTTCCAAATTTCTTTCTAGTCTAGTTCAAAATAAAATAAGCATGTTCTTGGTCTTTTCACATGTGGAGAAAGCATTATAGTTATCGCATATACCTCATTGGGAAGGCTAAAATAAGTATTGTTTTAAATGTCTTAGCTTAGGAAGGTTACTCAGCTTGTGTAAATTTGATTTTTATGTGTGTGTGTGTGTGTGTCCATCATTGGAGTTTTTGATGGATTGTAACTGTGGTGGCANAAGTATTGTTTTAAATGTCTTAGCTTAGGAAGGTTACTCAGCTTGTGTAAATTTGATTTTTATGTGTGTGTGTGTGTGTCCATCATTGGAGTTTTTGATGGATTGTAACTGTGGTGGCAAATGTAAATGATTGATTTTTCAGTCAACTAAATCTTTGGAACTGTAGCAGTAAATTTTGCTAAGTACCTTTAAAGTAGGTTAGATTTCTCCTATTTCATTTTCATCCTAAATTGATGCAAGCAATGATTTATTTCAGCTTGAAAGTTTTACTTTTTTGCCTTGTTTTTTCTTGTGTTCAATTATTTTGGGATCTTGAAAACTTAATGTGTTGATGGTTTAGATTTTCAGGCGTGTCAAATGGAAGTACAGGTTGTTGTTTTCATATGTGTTGGAAAGCATTTGTTGCTTAACCTTTAGGGCTTATTCGAATAAATTTTTGACAAGGGTTTACATTAATTTTTCTAAATTCTTCTTTAAAAAGATGAGATTCAACATTGAATCCAGTCTATACCCATGTTTGGTATGCNCAAGGGTTTACATTAATTTTTCCAAATTATTCTTTAAAAAGATGAGATTCAACATTGAATCCAGTCTATACCCATGTTTGGTATGCTTAAGGATANTTGGAAAGCATTTGTTGCTTAACCTTTAGGGCTTATTCGAATAAATTTTTGTAACGCCCCAAAAACCCCCTTGGGTGACATTACATTCTAAAAACCATTCNGCTTAAGGATATATCATTATTATGATAATATATTTGTATGTAAATAATTATTTTGTCAATTCATCAATCTTATCCAAATTCATGTTTGTATACATATGAGGTATAATTGTCTTTTTGTATCCTAAACTCGTTAAACCTCATTCGAAACCCCCCCTCCCCCGGTTTTGATGAAATCCATGGTGTTTAAGGTCCGAACCAATAGTGGGTTCAGCTTGATAACCCAANGAATTGTCTTTTTGTATCCTAAACTCGTTAAACCTCATTCGAACCCCCCCCGATTTTGATGAAATCCATGGTGTTTAAGGTCCGAACCAATAGTGGGTTCAGCTTGATAACCCAAAATTCAAATTTTTGGCCAAACAAGAGTTTTGTTTGTCGTTTGAACTATTTTTCCTCAACCCATCTTCCAAAGCCCTTCAATTTCACTTACCAACACACCCCGTTAAGGATTTGACTAGGTACCGGGAAAAAAAAATGGATATCATATCTCCAAAATTTACTAATTTAAAAGATAATTTTATAATTTTTATGGATAATTTTACAACCAAAAAATTTATCACTTTTATGGGTGATTTAACATTTTTATTGGTGTTTTTGTCATTGTTATGGATATTTTTACAATGTTTGTGATTACTATTTTTTTTCACTTTTCTTCCATAAAAAAAAACTATCACTTTGTGGTTGTTTTATCATATTTGTGGGTGTTTTTATCATAATTGTGAATAATTATTTTTATTATTTTTTTTGGATACTATAACAATGATAAAAACATCCATAAATATAGTAAAAACAATTACAAATTACCCCAAGGGGCCACAGCCCACTTAAGGACGAACCCGTAGTTCAATAAATGTGGAGGTCGAATGCCCAGTGGGCCAGCGGCCTCTACATCTCTCTCTCTCTCTCTCTCTCTCTCCGTGTGTGTGTTTTGACATCAGTTACAAAATGAGACAACGTATACTACTTCAAATTCCATTCTCTCCTATACGATCCCGCGCCAAATCGCGTGGGTTGCAGAAGCGTCACACTCCTAACAAACTCTTCACTNTTTGACATCAGTTACAAAATGGGACAACGTATACTACTTCAAATTCCATTCTCTCCTATACGATCCCGCGCCAAATCGCNCGTGTGTGTGTTTTGACATCAGTTACAAAATGAGACAACGTATACTACTTCAAATTCCATTCTCTCCTATACGATCCCGCGCCAAATCGCGTGGGTTGCAGAAGCGTCACACTCCTAACAAACTCTTCACTTCCCCAAAACCACAACCCCGCAAGGTACTCCTCTACTTCCCTCCCTCCCTCCTCTCTCTCCATAAATATGTGTGTGTGTGTGTTAAACCCTAGGTTGATTTTTATCTGAAGCAGAAACGTTGGCCACGGGGGTCGTGATTAGCACAAATGGTTCTGTTGTCTGGATCTGAAGATCGACCGATGAAATCTGGAAATGAATCCGGTGAAAAGGGGTGTTCGGACGATGACCACGATGGCATTCCGTTGAAACAACGCCTGAAGAAGCTACGCGCGACGAAGTGTATTATGGATTCGGGTGAAACAAAATCCGAAAAAGAAGGCATAAATGTGTCAACGTGAGTTGTCAATTCCACCTGATTGTTTGATTCGCTCATGAGATTATTAGGTTGTAGGTTTTGCGTTAGAATCTGTGTTTTTGCGACCACGTGCAGGCCCCCTATTGATTTTGCGGTGAAAGAAGATGACCACTGTGATTCTCAGGTAATTTTAAGCTGGTCCTTTCTGTTTTTCGAAAGCATTGTTCACACCAGTGATTGTTTTTGGTCTTGGCTTATGAACTTGATGATTCTCCGGTGATATATTTTGTTCTTCACCGGTGATTAGATATTTGAGGTATGAATTATGGAGATGTATGCTTGTTTTACACCACTTTATAATTTGTTCTTCAGGTTGATTCTCAATATTGGAACATAGTTGTTTTTCTTTGGATAATGATTGGGGAGAGTAGTTTGCAACATGAACTTACAAAGGAGATCAGTTCTGAGAAGTCAATCCTAGATGTTAGAACTGATCAGATTCTCTCTTGGTGGTCTAACTTGTTCCTTGGCCCTTGTCCCAGTGGTATAGGTGGGCCTACTAAAGAGCAGGCACCATGTTTTAATTTCATCAAATACTGCTTGAAAAGAAAGAGGAAATTATCACCTGCTACTCTGCTGTTAATATGTTCATCACCATGAATTGTACCACTTTTTGTCAATTTTAGCATATAACCTTCTCGCGGTTGGTTCTTCAATGTTAATATATTTTAAGTTCTTTTCTGCTCAACCGTGCAATTAACAGTTTATATTTTTTCATAGTCTTTGTTTTCACACGTGTGACCTTTTTGCTTCTGTCAGTTGTTTTTCTTCTTTGTTGGTACTTTTTTTTAAAAATCTTCTATTTGTTTTGTTTCCCTTTTGACCTTAAAAAGGACTTATTTGGCAGGGATTCAATTTTGCTTGTCTTGTCGGGGAAAGCGAGGTTGAGAGATTGCCGCCAAAGGGAACCCATGCTGGTAAAGTTCTTGAATAATTTACTTTTACTCGCACTGCAAAATCTAATACATATATTTTGCTGCTTTTGATCTGCTGTCAATATCACTCTGATAATAATGCAGGTAAGCTGGAATACAACAGTCGAGAGACTGAAGCGAATAAGTGCATTGCTTTGAATCAGATAAGATCCCCTGTAGTTAACTCTGGTATTGTTAGAGCTGAGAAACTTGGTCCCAGTGATGCTACTTCACTCCAACATGCAATGCCTCCGAAGTGCATTGTCAAAGTGAAGGTGGAGTGTACTGATAACACCTTAATGAGTTCCTTGAGAAACTGCCTAACTGGCTCTTCTAGTGTTGATACGCAAGCAATTAAGATAAAACCTGAAGTCCCTGATGATTTTTTAGATGATCTTGATAACATGGTACTGAAAGAAAGGCAGAAGATGCTGCTATCAAGGTGCCATTCTATCCTTGATAATTTCTGGTTCTTTCATATGAGGCGCCCGTGTGCTGTTAAATGGATGTATCTGTTTGTGTGTATTAATCATGTTAAATGCTAAGAAGATGCTTCAAATTCAATTTCCAGATAGGAAGGTGTTAATTGATATCTTTATTATCTTAGTTTAACATTTCTGCAAGAAACCATATTTCAACTTTGGTGAAGGCAATGAAATACTGAATTTTGTTTTCATCTTTTATTTCTGCAGGAAATCATCGGGATTGACCAAACCAGTTCTGGAGGTAACAAATTTTCCTCTTCTTGCATGGTAGAGATGGAATATTCTGTCCCTATTAGGGCACATGTTGCTAGTATGCAGATGGTACATAATGATCTATACATTCTAGGCATTGAATTTGATCATCAATCACTTAGAAAGAAGAGCCTGTCGCAACGTCCAGAGCCATAAAACAATAATATGCAATTCGGGATGTAATCCTCATGACAAGACTATCTTTTGATAATGGTCCTAAAATACTGCACAGAAGAACTGTATATTTTTGATTTAGTTACTAGAGTGTTCCATTAGGGAATAAGAAGTTCTAGGTTTGGTTTTAGGAACAAATAGAGAAATGACCAGCTTCGCTTGAGCTTTTTCTAGTTAGGTCATTTATTTTTGGCTCTGTGGCTTTTTAGTTTCCACATTTGATCGTGATGTCTTTCTATGTGGTCTTCTTATTAATGCTACCTTTGGTGCACGATCTTGTGAAATGTATCTGTTCTGATCAAATCAATTAGCAAAGAAGGTTCCTCATTAGGAGGACAAGAAGGTGATGTCCTTTTTATAACTGCAGTATCTTCATAGTGCTCATACAAACCTTCATGTACAGAGCTATCAGCTTTTGTGGGCAATTTTGTTTATTGGAAACTTAAGGGCTACGATTCTGTCTAAAATATTAGACATGAAGCAGTGGTTCCAGATTTAAAAATCAGTGGTTTGACCTATGTGGCAGTTAGGTCATATTTTTAGCACGAGTTGGAAAGAAAAGTTATTAGGCAATTTTTGCTTTTTCTGCATTCCTTGATATTGTACATTCCAAGTTTTTTCTTGTTTTGCCAATGTTCGTTATTCTAGCTCTCAAGGAAGTTCATTTGGGCAAAGCCCAGCACCCAAAACCTTGGTCTAAGCTTGGGTCTGTTATTTAAAGAAAATATACTAGTGTATTTAATGCTTCAAACATTTGGGTACAACCACAAATTGGGGGCTTCTTCACAAGTCCACAAGTTGTGGGAATTTTTTGTCTTGCTTTAATGCATATAAATATGAGTATGCACATATATATTGGCGTGCACTTTTTTGTATTATCTTTAGGGTAAGTGAACACACATTTTCAAAGCAAAGCAACACCCATGTCAAAATAAAGAAGGTTGAGGTATGTAGGTGAGGAACTTTGGTCAGAACTATTCTTCCAATGAATAGTTCAGTTGAAAGGAGTTTCAAGAAAAGCTTGACTATGAATTCAATACAAAAAGATTCTTTGAACTACTATTTTCCACCAAAACAAATGATAGCAAACGGAAACCACCCTTCAAAATTTACTTGCAAGCAATAAGTTGTGTTATATCAAATGAGCAAGAAATCCTGGAGCAACTCCTAGTCAACCTGCCTGCAAGCAATCGCGGACCTTCTAAACAATGAATACAACGTTGATCCATATATGACAACCTTCACTTCCTTCTCTCTTATTCTATTAGATTAATTCAAAGGTTCTTAAAATCGGGATTTTATGTTGCATCAATTGGAGTGGAAAAATATGATTAAAGTTACATTTAACAGAACATAACTTTAAAAAAAATTAAACTAATCAAATATATACGCAAATGTAAAAATATATATAACTTAGTGATATAATTAACTTAAATAACTATAATCTTGATATTGAACAGGTTAAGCAAAAAAAGACAGACAAAGAAGAGATTGGAAAGTTGAGAGATTGTTGAGTAAATAATTTTGATTGTTCTCTCTCTACTGAAAAAAAATAGCTGAGGAGAATACAAACAGAAAATGTACTTGGCTGTGATCACTCGCCAAAAGAAAAAGAACAAACCTAATTGTTGAGAGATTACTATTACTTTCTGACTTTTTAAAATTCTCTCTATTTGGGACGGGTCTTTAAGTATTAAGTAAGAAATAGTCTCACTAACTACACAGGCTTCTAATAAATAAAACCCAACAACTTGGATTAGTAAAATTGTATTTTGGATTGGGTCCTAAGATCCTATGGGATCCGGATCACGATCCATTAAGATTCCAGGAACTAGAGATTTTTTCAGAGACTTAGATCGATTTTCCTTTTGTCTGAGCATCCAAAGAGTGAATATGAAGGTCTTCCAATGACCATTTTGACCTCCTATGAACTCATATATTTATTTGTTTGCTCTTAAAGTTGTTAGTGAAAGCTTTTTTTTTAGTTGGCAGGATGGAGATTTCCTACTTACTATCCTATGAGTGGCCACATCTTTGTAGGTCTCCACTAATTGGTTATGCTTACTAGTACTTTGACATCTAACAGAGCAATTATTAAAATGGCTTTAGCTGTGGTATTAGCTTTTTCTTTTCCTTTGGCCCTTCCTCCACTCCTTTTCTGTTCTCTCTTTGTGCTTTACATGATTAATGATATCTGATGATTGCACCCTTATTTAAGAATTGTTGGATGAGGAGTGATTTTATTGATTATTAAGATAATAGCAATATTATGTATGGCTTAGAGGTACTTCATGTCCAATAGGCTGGGTCCCCAATGTGAACCTGTATGGCCTAGTCATAAAGGTATAAGAGATAGAGAAAAAATTGCATTTTTGGTCTAGGAAACTCTAAACTATCCTGCTCTCCAATGCTCTCGTGTTTTCCCAACTCCTACATTTCGAGCTGTGGTCCTGTGACAGATTTGAATAACTCATACAACTGGGAAGTTATATAGGGGGAGATAGAGAAGCTTTCACATTATGCTTATGTTCTGGCTTACACTGTTTTGGTGACTGAGGTTCAAAACTGCAAATGGACCCTTAAGATTTGTGTGTGTGTGTGAGAGAGAGAGAGAGAGTATCTCTATGTTGGTCGACCTTAGCTCAGAAGGCAGAGCAGAGGACTTCTCCTCTTGGTTGCTGGTTCGAATCCAGCAGGTCGTAATTGACATTTCAGTTGAATGAGTAAGCCTTCCCTTGTTGGGGGCTCTTAAATAATAAGATTTCTTCATGTGTCCATGGAATCCATAGTGATATGTTGGGGAACTTCTGTAAGATATTTATNGGTAATTGACATTTCAGTTGAATGAGTAAGCCTTCCCTTGTTGGGGGCTCTTAAATAATAAGATTTGTTCATGTGTCCATGGAATCCATAGTGATATGTTGGGGAACTTCTGTAAGATATTTATTTCTCACCGTTTGGATGAAAATAAAATTTTGCTCGTTAACTAATTAGGTGCAAATTTTGTTCCTCTTTTTTGTCTTGTTTTTGCCCCATGGTGGTGGGGGTGCAGGGAAGAGCAATTTTGATCTCGTATGCCTATTTCTGAAACCTTGACCATTTAATTATTTGAAATTATGCATCCATCACCAAAGCTAAGAAGCAGATCATATTTGCTTTGCAAGATGCATTTTGGGTGTTATAGCAAACATAATTTGAATTTCACACCTCCAAGGTAAAAAAGTGGTGGCATCGATTTAGACATGTGACTTCATTTTGTCTCACCATTTTCCTTGTGTTTGTTGTCCGTGACATCCATGAAACGCAACACTAATGCTTCAGCTATAAATGGTAGAGGGCTCATGCTTATATGAAGAATACACATTGGGAAAATGTTAGCTCGTTCACTCCAGATTTGGTGTCAATGCAGAAGAAATGCCATGGTCTCTTTTCATGCTCTTTGCGTTCAATCATGATGTTATCCCTTTAGAGACTTATGTTATAATGTTGTTCATGTTATTCTGTTGTTTGGTGTTGTATGGTTCAAGTAGCATGCCCCTTATTTTGTGGGACCCAGATATATTGTTTTGCCGGATGATATATTACACTTTTTGGCTTTTTAATTGTTCTGTGATCCTTCCACCACCTCCACTTGATGCTAATATGGCCCTGTTACTTGGAGTTATATATCATCTTGTAGTTGAATCCCTGATTTCCTTGGCTTGCTTGTTGCTTTCTGGTTTCAATGGCGAGGCTTTATTTGTTGCATGGTATAGTTAAGCTTCAGCTTTTTTCTGATCTAAGTTGCTGCTTGCTGTATGTTGTGATACAGGGCAATTGTTCAAAGTTGTCTAGCTCCTTTGTAGATGACCGGATTCAGTACAGCGTTGGGATAGATAAGAGAGAGAATCATTCTGGTTATAAAGAATCTTCAATTGTTGGAAATGAGTCCTGTGACATTCTTAAGTCTTGGGAATCTGATTCATCAAATGGTGTTATTGCAAGACCATCTTGTATGATTTCTCAAATTCCAATGTTGGCCGGTCATAGTCAGGGAACTGAATCAACAACACCAGGAGGTTTTGTGAGCAGTCAAAAAGATGATAGGATATGCTCTCATAAGAAAATTTCCGCCAAGTATGAACATTGTGATGCACAGCATCCTTTGTCTGGTTGCCAAAAAACTTCACTTGCTTCAGATTTATCAACCGTTTTAAATGTGAAGGTTGAACCCTTGGATAAAACCGAAGTACAAAGTCCAGACAAGAATGCTGTAGGCAATTTTTCCTGCAGTAACATAGGTCCTGCGGAAAGTGAACTTGAACTACCTGATGAAACTTACGAAGATATATTTGACCATATGGTGCTGCGAGACCGAATGATGTTGCTGGCATCAAGAAAGCCTCCTTGTTTGCAGTCTAGTGGAAATTTTGAATGCTCAGGGAAAGGTGTTCCTTCTTTTCTGGATGGTAGGCCTATTGAATCAGATTGTGCTAAACCACTAAGAATAAATCGTCTACGGAAAAGGAGAAAAACTGCCACGTAATGAATCTCTCTCTCTCTCTCTCTCTCTCTATAGGCATATACTTTTTTTATGTTAATGTACTGGAAGAAAAAATTTGAATTTTATTTTTTCGGTTTCATGTCTAAATTTCGAGGGTTTCTCCTTTTCTATATCAAATCCAGGGATTCTGTTCAAACAGCATTGGAGGAAGATGCTCCTGGACTTCTGCAGGTATTATACGCATTTCATTGTTGTGGTTTCACATTCATCTAGAGGTAGGGTCATTTGTATTTGCCATCCATATGGCAGGTGCTAATTGACAAAGGGGTATCAGTCAACGAAATTAAGCTTTATGGGGAAATGGAAAGTGAAAATGCCCTGGATGATTCATCCACAGAAGACAGCTTTACTGAGCTTGAAGCTGTGATAGCAAAGGTTGACATATTTCTGTTAGTATGTTTATTCCCTGATATCTGTTCCTTGAATACATTTTCTTCTGCTTTTCGAAGCTTCAATGTAGACAATATTAATCTAATAATTCTATCATGAAAAGTTTCATGATTGGAAAGAAAAGAAAGGACACAGGTGCTTGAATTATGTAGTGGTTATTGTGTTAAAAGGGTGAAGTGACTGATGTGGTTTTCTGAAATCATTCTGAATCAAAGGACATAAATTGAATTATTTTCCATGAAGAGAAAAGATTATTAGTTTGGCTATTTTGGAATCATAACCAAATTGAGATGATCCATCCTGCAGTGGCTGTAGTGTTCTATCTAAATTTGGTAGCTAGCTTACTGCAACTAGTAAGTGTCATGTATAGAAGTGTAAATGCAAGAAAATTTCCGTATCATGTTTTATTATCTCTGTTCTCTTTTCTTTCTTTCTTTCTTTTTTTTGGTGAACAGTCTTTTGATCATTCGTTCTGAATACTTTTATCTTCAGGGTGTTGATCTCTTTGGATAGCCATGTCGAATTTCATGTACGTGATACAATGAGTTGACCAATTTTTCGTTTATAATGGTGTCTTATCACAAATTGAGAATGAAGTCCCAATTTTTTCCCTATATGGGTGGATTGACATTGCATGGAGATCTTTTTTCGTGAGTTACAACTTCTACATCTTTAGTGATGATAGTCAGAACTTCTTTTGGGATGGTTAAGTGACGATCGAAAGATAGTGTTCTTGCTGGAAGACTAAATATGTTCCTTTGGAAAAGGAGGGTTGGTGTTGATGTTGTCAACGGAAATTGCTTGTTGGAAAAATTTGATTCAAAATAGTAGCACTGGTCATTATTGGTTGAGGAAGCATGGGTGGTCGTGTTATGATCAACTATAGATGCTTAGGCCGCCTTGTGGTAATTGCATAGTTCTGCGTTTGATACCTTTTTTTTCTTCTGTTTTGTTCACTTTAAGGCTATTTCTTTTGGGGGAAAAATTGTCCACACTCCAAACAAGAGCAAGGAACTTGCAAATGTTCCTTTTAAGTAGGGAGGTTGGCTGGTCCCACTCGCACATATATGTCTGTTTGCTATACAAGATGCATATTTCAAAAGAAGGTTGGTTTTTTTTGTTTTTGTTATAAATACTTAAATTATCCCATCTCAAATAGCTTAAGCTTGTGGAGTAGATGATTATTCAACATAGTATCGTAGAAGTAGGTCTTGTGTTTTGAATCTCGCCGCCACCCTNATTTTTTTTGTTTTTGTTATAAATACTTAAATTATCCCATCTCAAATAGCTTAAGCTTGTGGAGTAGATGGTTATTCAACATAGTATCGTAGAAGTAGGTCTTGTGTTTTGAATCTCGCCGCCACCCTTATTATTAAAAAGATTTTCACGTGCTAGGTCTTAAATCTAGCGTGCACTCGTGGGGGTGTGTTGAAGTATAAATACTTAAGTTACACCCNCTTATTATTAAAAAGATTTTCACGTGCTAGGTCTTAAATCTAGCGTGCACTCGTGGGGGTGTGTTGAAGTATAAATACTTAAGTTACACCCTTTCCAATTGCTTAACCTTTTTGGAGTAGATTGTTGTTCAACAGTTTTGATATGTAAATTGCTTTTCTAGGCTTTGTTATTTAGTTGTGGCAATAGACTTATTGTGGCCGGTTAACAGTCATGCAGTCCAGCATACAATATAGTCCACTAAATTTGTGCTTTTATATGTTTATTTTGGCATACAGTGGGTTGCAAATTTGCACAAATGCCGTTTCTAATTTTTTATTCAATGAAATATGGGTACAGCTTTTCTCTCAGCGTCACTCATTATTAAAGTTTGCTTCTCTACGATGCCCAAAGGATGAGAAGGCTAGTTATTGCTTGGCTTGTCTAATTTCGCTTGTGGAGCAGGTAAGAATATCCTGCAATGTGTTGTCTACAGGCCATTGACTGGTGAAAATAGCATTCATTTTTCATTATGCTTCACTTCCATCAATAGTTTATTGGAAGGTCGTACAATTCTTTTCACATCTCACGAACTACCCTTTTAATTGCAGGCTCACTATCTACAGTTTAAAAAGTGGCCTGTTGAATGGGGATGGTGCCGAGACCTTCAATCGTTTGTATTTGTCTTTGAAAGGCATAACAGGTGTATTATCAACAACAAAAATTATGCTTCTAGTCTTTTTATTTATTTTTTTCATTGATTGTTTGTGTTTTAAGATGATTCAGGTGCTCCCATTTTATTTGGATGCAGAATTGTGCTGGAACGACCTGAATATGGCTATGCGACATACTTCTTTGAGTTGGTGGATTCCTTAACGATAAGTTGGCAGGTCAAGAGGTTGGTGACTGCCATGAAACTTACCAGTTGTAGCAGGGCCACCCTAATTGAGAACAAAGCATTGGTGGTAATGACTTTTGGCATTTATTACTTGTTATTTTAACCTGGATGTAAATTTTTCTACCTTTCTTAAGATATTAATCAACCCACATCTTGCTTCACTTTCATTTTTGCTTTTAAAGAAGTAATGTAAGTAATCCAGGAAGCATGATATATATTAAACAGTGTTCTCCACATTTCAACTTATGTGATGCGGTTATTAATTGATCATCTGCCAATGCTCTTGAAGATCAGATAACTTGCGACTATGGGGGGAAATGAATCGAATTATATACTTGCTGACCAAAATTGATTGAAGCATATGCTTGACACAAGGGCCACCATATGTGGCTTTTGTTTGCTAAGAGACCTTTTCTTGGTGCTTTATCTGCATTGCATTTTCCTTGGTGTCACTATATCCATAGCTATTGGAACTGCATGACATTGTCACCAAAAGTTGCTGGATGCCATTGTTGCTTATTGACTTGGAGAAAGGACTGGTTGGGATGTAGGTGCATGTTTGTTATTTTTTGAAGGGAATAAAAATGTTGGAGACTTGTAATTCTACATGCTTTCATTAGAATATTTAAGTCAGAATTTCCTCTTTTTATATCATCGTTTTGGTATTTGCTTTGTTGAAGTTTATTGGCATGGTTCTTTTTGTATCTTGTCTTGTTTATGGTTCTATCATGTTAGTGGTATCAACTTTTTGAAGATTCTGTATGACTTTTGAATTGAAAATAGACACCTGACTTCTGAATGTTAGACACCGCTCTCTGATCAGAATCAATTTATTGTCATCAGACCATCTGTTTTTTTTTTTTTTTTGTAATTTAGGTTGGTGAAGACTTGAGTGAAGGTGAAGCACGGGTGTTAACACAGTATGGTTGGATACCAAATAGCGGCCTAGGAACAATGCTTAACTATTGCGACAGAGTTGTTCATGACAGAAAGAATGAGAGTGATAGCTCGGAGTGGAGGTCGAAAATTGGTAAGTTGCTTATGGATGGTTATAATGGTGGAACAATAGTATCAACTGATATTCCAATAAAGGTTGTGGAATATGGTGTTGCTCAGAGCCCACAGATCAAGTTGGAGCTTTAATCGAGGTTAGCTCAGTCCTGAAATTGGTAAATTCTAGTCGATATTAGAGCAGTGTTTATAGTCCAGCATGGTAAATATTTTGTTCAAGTATTTTTAGTTAAAAATGTGAAGTATCTCCTCTGTTTCTTTTTTGACATTGATGAAATCATCTGCACTGAAATCATACTAAGCTCTAAGTGTCATGGGATCAAATTGTGTTACAAGAATGTATGTTCCGAAAATCCATTCTCATGAGGGGTTTTTTTTTGAACTGGATTCTTAAGAGGTTTAGTTTATAAAATTTAACATGTACTTTAGTCCTGTCTGAAAATGTTGGTCATCGGGGTTTTAAACGTGTTCTTTTAAATGTTGGCTTCTGCTGGGAGTTGGTTCATCCACTCATGCAATGTCTGCACATTTTTTTGCTTGGCAATGGGTCAGATGTTTTGGAATTTATGTATAAAGGTGATGATCTTGAATTGGGGTTTAGGGGTCTGAGGTTAGTGGTTTCGGCTTTATCTCCTTTTGTTTGATTGTTTGTCTTGGTTTATCGACTTATGACTCGATCAACTAAGAGTGTTCATTCTACGTTTATTACTCTGTTAAATTTTTTCTTTTACCCTCCCTCATATTTGTTTGGAGTGCAAAGATTCTCTTAACTTAAGTTGGCTTTTGCTATCAAAATTTGATCATATCACCGAGGATTAAAATTTTTTTTTGAAACGGTCGAAATATCTGAAAGGTTTTTGTTTTTAAAGAGATTCAAACAAATCAGTAATGAAATTAAAATTATAATATTGAGANTTGAAACGGTCGAAATATCTGAAAGGTTTTTGTTTTTAAAGAGATTCAAACAAATCAGTAATGAAATTAAAATTATAATATTGAGAGATGTCGTAATATTTTGAGGTATTTTGTAATGTTTCAAAGTATTTGTACAATCGTTTTGGAATGATTCAAGATATTTTGATTAATATTTTGAAAATTTTATTTTTAATTTTTTTTCAAAACGAATTAAAACGTTTTTGAAATACGTTGATATTTTTATTTTTTATTTTTTAGATGATTGAAATAATGCACCAAATTTTTTTTTTGATCTTTGCATATTATTCAGATGCCTCATCAAGCACACCACCACATGATCTAAGGCCAGGCCTCGTTTTGAAATTTGGCCCAACTTCAAATTATTCGTAGTCCAGAGGATAAGCCATTGACATGTTTATATGAATAGTCAGATCCAAAGACAGAGAGACTCTGAAGTAGTAGTGTTTGAAGCCTAGACTTATATCATCACTTACGTCAGAGTGACATTAATCAGCCTTGATTGGGCTTTGATACAAGAGAATGCCATAATTTTGTTCGTACAAATTCATATGAAAATATTCCTGCAAGAAAAGATCAAGATTTTTAAACTTGCAAATCATTGGTTTGAGGTTGATGTTTTTGTGCTTGTTAGAATGTTTTTTTTTTTAAGCAATTCCATAGGCTTTTGCTTTTGTATTTGTTCATAATTATAGTCGTCTGTAGGGTTGATGATTGAACTGAGCCTGTCGAACTTGTTTTTTTAAACAAGCTTAAAAAATTGTTCAAGTTTGAACTTGAATCGAGTTGAGTCCGATTATTTACATATAAACAAACCTGGCTTGTCTAGCTCGTTTTTCTAAACGAGTCTAAACAAATTGTTCAAATGAGCCGAGCTTGAACCGAGTTGAAACCCAATAGTACGGTTTGATTATCAACGTTAGTCATTTGGAACTTTGTACTGATCCAAAATGATCAAATTTAAATTGTGATCCAGTAGTTAAGATAACAATTATTTTGGATGAGCCGAGCAGAGGTACAAATGTGGATCAGTAGAAAAATGGAATGGAATTTTTCTGAAAAAGTAGAAAAAAGAAACCCATTTTGTCAAAAAAAAAAAAAAACTTGCTAAAAAACTTAAATAATTTTTGGAAGGGAAGCCATGGCAGAATTACTATGCTGATTATCATCAACATGATCTATAACTTGAATGATTTATAACTTGAGCTTGTACTACTTATCATTATTGCAAGTAACCAGATTAATTTTTTTTTGTTGCGGACTCTTACCCGAGTAATTCACCGTTAACAACATAAAGAAGACTGCTTATTTTCTTAATGATATTAGAAACAAAGGGAAAAAAGCAACAAAGACAAGCATAAGCAAGTTTTAGTTATAGATATGTTCACACAGCCTTCAATCTTCATCTTAACATACCCAAAAGGGCCAAACCAGCGTGCATGTGTTCCAAAATGATTGAGACAAGTAGCTAATTGTCCAATTTAATTGATGATTGCCAAGACTATGGAAAGCCAATTGCAATTCCACATGGGGTTATTTGACTGAATGCTACACATGTCAAACGTTAATTATATAAATGAAACGGAATGATCAATGAGTGCTCTCCAAAACAAAATGTCTCCCTTTCCATTTTATAATGACCCCAACCCAAGACCCAAAATGGTACACCTTGGCATAAACATTCAAGAACAATGTAGAAGCAGCCTATAAGTGTTGTAGCAGAAGATAAGGTTGTATAAAAATGGTGATGGGGCATCACCATGAATGATGAATAGGATCAAATTTAAATATGGTACTAAAAAATAACTTTTCGGTACCATTTTTTCAATATACATTTAGTAAAAAACTTGATAGTTTTGTTGTTTTTTATTTTCTCAGTCAATGATTACAAATTGCATCCAAATTAAAATTGATGATATAGGCGAATTTCATTAGAATATTGATATCGGTAACGTAACCTTATCCAATTTATAAAAGCTGTGAATCCATCACCTTCATAGTCATCATGACGAGAGAAGATGATGGACATACAAAATTGGGTAGAATGCTAGTGAGAATCCTGTTATTTTGTTCTTGTGGGCCTGAGATGTCTTCAAAATTGTTCATCTTCTCTCATTTTTTTTGGTGTGGTGACAAGCTGGTGGCTGTTCATAGGTGCCTGCCCAAAATGTACTCCAGTTATACTCCACCTTTGGACTCATTATACTAGCAGAGTCTACATAACAAAGAAACCGCGTATTCAAATAGTGGTGGACCTTAAGACCAAGATGACCCCAATCCAAAAATAGAGAGAGAGCAAAATACAGTGCAAAAACTTTGGTATAAGGGTCCAAAAAGAAGTGAAGAAAAGTTGAATTGTTCTATCACGCTTGCATTCGGATTAGATCACTAAATGTAAGATTATATATTGTATCTTGGTGGACGGTCTCATTGAATACAATAAATCTCGCTTAAATTCATGCAAGTGTTGTAGAGTTGAAGGAAACGAAGGACATTAGCATTGGAATGGATCTGGATTCCTTGCATTCTAAATTGGTCTTTACTGTTTGGTCATTCAGCTGACCAAAGTTGGAGCAAAAAAGATAACTCAGTGCATGAAACGAAACCCTTTTGTAAATTTAAAGAAGGTCAAATATGTACAATTTTATTCGATTTTTGCCCAAGACTATTTTTATAACTAGAAATTGTAACGTCCATGGCCGTCAGCCGACACAAGTTGGAGTACTAAAAAAATGAAATACATTTGAACTTTTTACCAACTTAATTGACACAAGACTTCTTGAATGCTTATATGTTGTGTTATCATTGATTAGTTTGATACAAATGATAGATTATTGCAAGGAGAAAGGTAGTGGTGTTGTTATGGAGTTGAAATATAAAGAAATATGCACTCATTGAAGCCTTGATTCATTTGTTTTTCATCATGAAAAATTAAAGCCAGATACCTCTGGTAGCTTTGTGAATTCGAGAGAGAGCGGGTCCCAAAATCCACTAACAAGGCCAATGGAATCGACGAGCGTGGAGACACTGGCCTATGATTCGGCGACCGCCCCATTGAAAGCCATTGCCAACATTAACAAACACATATGCTTCATGGTCCTTTGCCACCTTGCTCTATCCCCCAGCAACAAGAGCTAAGGGTCACTGACAAATCATCCTATTCCTAGATAAGCAGCATATCTACTCGCCCCTTTTTCCTCTTTCTTCCTAGAAATAGTGATATATTTGCCAACCCCCACTGCTCTCTCTCTCTCTCTCTCTCTAAATAAGCAATCATATATACCAGATATGTTCATCTTCTGCGTCATGCTTTTCTTCACATTCCATACATATCAGTCTTCCACTACTCCTTAGTTTTTGTGTGTTAAATCTATAGGTTTGTTGAGGGTAATGATTATGGAAGAAAATCCTGCGATTCGCATGTGCATTTTTTATTCATACCCTTTATAATACAATATTATGTTTGTTTGTTTGTTTGGTTTCCAGACTCCACATAAGCCTTATGCATTGGATCATTAGTTTTTTTTACGCTTAATGAGTACATATTCCAAACATGGGATTAGTATTTATAATAACGAACTCAGGGATATGATAATAAGGAACACCAATGATTACGATGGATATGAATTAGAGCTAGACTTGTTTCGAGGTAACAGCAAAATTGTTTTATTATGATTGGGATGTCTAAAATTCGAGTCGCCATAATACCATTTTTGAATGAATAATAAAACTGCGTAATCTCACTCTTCTGAAATTGCAGAGTGACAGAGGATCAGCAGAAGGCCTGCATTGTATCTTTTTTATTTTTATTTTAATTTAATTGGATTTACCCATACGGCTATACGCATGAGTCCCAAAAGCATTATCTACTTTCCTCTCTTTCACCGTCATCTCACCTTTGTCGGGGCTTTCAAGTGGCTTGAGACTGACTAACCTCAATAGTGATAATGTAGAAAATAGCTGCTTAAGGACAAGTCGCAGCTTCAAAAAGAAATATGTGCATACAAAAAGTCATCATCGACCATCCGCCCAGATACGGTACCGTAAAATAATTTTTTGATATTGAATGAATAATAAATTTCAGTAGCTACACAAGATCTTGTTTTATTTGATGTGCATAAGTTGTGGGTAATTATTGATAATACTTAAAAATTTATTTTACGGCAATGAAGTGTTTAGAAATTTTTAAAAAAAAATAAAATAGAGAAAACACAAAATGACAAGAGATTTAATGACGTCAGATTATGCGTCATGAGTATTGAATCTGCGATAGGAACATTCATGATGCTGAGGGCTATTTATTATTTAAATAATATTGAAAAGAAATTGTTGAATGTTCCAAAAACCGGAAAAGGGAATTTTCTAAGTCTCTTAAAGGTGGAAAGTTTTAGCACATAATCTGTGTATGAATTTACGATACAATATAAAAAATCGAGTACGCAAAAGTCAATATGACTATGTCAAATAATAAATTTTTTGTATTTCTTTTTTTAATT